TAGCATGTGACACGAGTTTAGAATTTCTTGATAACGGCACCCGAATTACTTAATACTGAACATAAGCAAATCAAATACATATATCATTCTACAAATCATTTTGATTTCCTTCTCATTCTTTTACGATACAGTAAATGCAAACTTCAAAGCAGACAATATATTAATTAATGTAAGATTTTATTCTTAAAGTCACTGATCTACAATTCTGCCAGTCTTATTTTGACTGCTTTGCAAGCGAGTACTCAGTTTTAAATCATTTTTCCTTGCCTTTAGACGTTCATTGTATAAATAAAGTTTTGTAATTTTTTTCTCAAAATGAAAACTACCAACTAGTAAGATTGATTTTATTATTCAACCTTCTATCATAGATCAGTCATTCATTCGGTTTATAAGTTCTTTTCAAACATTGTACGTACTAAAATTTCGATGAACTTTTAAATATCATGTGGGATTTTTATGGACTTTGAGAATTTCTACATAAGTACGAAGGAAAAAAACATTGAAAATTAATTTCCATTGTTAATCAGTGTTATAAATTATTAATAAAACATCAACTCATATTTTTATTACTATCTATTAGACACTTTAATGAAGTAATACCAATAATAGTAATAATAATAATAATAATAATAATAATAATAATAATAATTTTCTATTTAATTTGATTAAATCATAAAATTTTTGATTGATGTTTATTTCAAGATAAGTCTAATTGTAGATTGATTTATACATAAACTTATTATGTTAGTTTTCAGCTAATTACTAAAAAGTAATCATTGAAATCTCAAATAGTTGTCTGAATTAAATCTGCAAAATACCAATCCCTATACATTTCTCTCTTGTAATCTTGTTATTCAGTGGTAAGATGAAAATCGTATAAAACTAATTTGAATCGCCGTCTCTATAAAATTATTCAACCTTACAGATGGTAAATAAATTATGCAAATTAACTACGTGCTTATGTTCCTGAAGTTATGCAAAGTGTACTGATCGGCGAATAGATTAGGTAGTTAATAACAGAATAAATACTCAGTGAGTTACATATAAGGATGTGGACTAAAAGGCCATGTGTCTTTGACACATCGATATAAAGTGTGTGATAAAAAATGCAGTATGGTGTCTAATCACAGATACAGTAAACTGAATGTTGTGACTGCGTATAATCAAGATTTATTTATCAATAAATAAATGAAATCCATTTTTTGTGTGTGCGTTAAATTCACTTGCTTTAAGTCGTCTACGATTCAAGCATTTTTCACAACAAACGTATTCCATTTCTACACTTATATTTAGTTTCATTGCCTAATCATGAACAATCTGTTGAGTAATGGATAAATAGCATTTGTATTGCTATTGTAAAATTGTTAATAGCGTATATATATAATAAAGTCCTTGTGATTTAACTCAATTATCATCGATTTGGAAAAAATATGCACGAGAGAGAAAATAAAACATCTCAAGGATATGTTAATTCATTCAATATATCTGATTACATAGTTATCTATATTTTATTTATTTATTTTAAGTGTAGATTTCAAAATAAATAAGCTTATAGTTAAAAATATTTTCCCCGTTGAGTTTAAAATCTCTAACTATTTTAAATAATTCAGTGTGTATAAATAAATGTACGACACATTTGGAAATTACCATAAGTATTCTCGTTAACTAGTAAGATTACATTTGGATAAAAGCACATATATATATATATATATATATATATATATATATATATATATATATATATATATATATATATATATATATATATAGCATGCAGGTTACATATTACATTTTTAGAGAGTAGTAGTGCATTTCTAGAACACTTATAATTAGTTTTACTTATTTCTGTCGTTATATTATACCATTCTACAAAGTACTGTTATGTTATTGTTTGAAATTAAGAGTTGAATAGGCTAGTCATGGAATTTCAATAATATGCACATATGCATATCAGCGAATAAAAAGAATTAGATTGTGAGACATTATGCATGAGTGTAGTATATATACCTATTCATCATATATATATATATATATATATATATATATATATATATATGTTTATATATATGTATATATATATATATAAAGGTGAATAATGTGATGTTTTGAAACTAGATCAGTTAAAGAATGAAATCAGTCTATGCTTTTTATGAAATGCTTACTTTCTAGTTTAATTCAGTGCCGTTTAATATAGGAGCTTTTAGGAAATCGCTTAATGAAGATTTAAGCGTTTGAGTTGTTGATGAATTCTACACTTGAACAAAACGGCATTCAACGCTTCCAAGTTTTCAATAATTTTCTAACGTAGTTTGATTCGTAGTTTTAATGAAATTCAACAATTTGCACAACCTCATTACCAATAAAAATTTCAGTGGGAGTACCATTTAACCTTCAGACAGCTCAGCACTGAGTGTTAATGATCCTGCAGGGATCAAAATTGAAAACTTTGAGCTTTAGTAACATATTTAGTTCCTTTAGATTATTGGATTTCAAATCCAACGATCGATATGTTAGACCAAAAGAAACATAATGTCAAGAACTTTTCACTAGTCTTTGTCGTGAAACTTTGATTTGAAATGAAAATCTTACTTATTTCTTTAACACTTCCAAAATCTCAATAATTCTCTAACCAAAACCAATGATCAATGTAAAACGTAAAATTTAACAATCTCTACAACGTGATGAAAGAACAAAGTTTTCATAAAATTTTATAGCGATCGAATAAGTTATAGCAATAAGTTTAGAACCATTTCACTTTAATGTTGGAATGAATTTTTTTCTTACCAAATAAAAACCGATTGTTTATACTGGTTTCTTTATTGAATGGTGCAATATTTAGCAATAACAATATGATAATTTTTTTTAATGTTTGTAATTTCACCAATTAAATTCAACATAGGCAACTTTTTATAAGTTTCCATTATTTAGATTAACCAATATCGTAAAAATATTTCGGGAAAATAAACAGATGCATTACCTGTATGAAAACTCAGTGTAACTACCGATTGTTTTTGCTTATTTTTATTTTTAAAAAGATTTATAGTTTTCAACAGTATTAAGTAAGAAATAATCGGATAAATTATGAATTTTTTTAATTTTTACAATGTAATGCAACTAATATAAGGTTGAAATATAAATACCGTATAATAATAATAATAATAATAATAATAATAATAATAATAATAATAATAATAATAATAATAATAATAATGTTACGTCCAAATTCTAGCATTTTTTTATTTTGCTTTCTAACAAATAAGTTCATAAACTGAACAATAGCCAAAAAGCGGTACTATTGTTGGAACTGTTCATATACCTTTAGTGTTTTTGTTTTATGTTTTGAGCCTAAACAAAACTAGACATGAAAGTTTGAAGAGAGAAAATAAAATAAAAGAAGTTAATCCGATAAATGTGTTTAGTAATTAAAAATAAAGTTTTATTATAACATGAAATTGTAATTGGAAAAAAATAAAACGAAAATACTTTGGTAATATTCATTTTCATCATCGGGCATAAAGAAGCTCTGTGATCATAATGCTAAATATCAGTATCCTTTCGATTAGTAGCACGGTCTTTATAGCTTTTGTTTTCATTTGTATATATATAAATTATTATGAAATGTATGAATACATAATTTTTCAGAAAGTAATCTTTCTACTTTACATTTGAAAAACAAGGCACTTTTTAGTATTTCAATATTAATCTTTCCTAAAAATCTGTCTATGCTACATTACGTAATATAATTTCAAACAGATCTCACTAAGTATTTTCACCAATAATTAATGCATATGACTTTCATGTTATTGAAACTAAAAAAAATTAGAATTGAAAATGAACATGAATTAAAATATACAGTTGTAGATGATATATCGAACATTTGTAACAATTATAGAAGTGGTAGTGACATATTTATTGATTTTTCTTGTCATAATAATATTGTTCTAGTAATAATCGTTGTGAATTTAAACAAAGATCACTGATATACTGAAATACATTTCCGAATCTAGATATCAAGTAAATTTTTAAGAGTCTTTGTTGTTCATTTGTTAGATTATAGATTATTCTGTTCAACTAAATCCATTTTTCAATTCTGACAATACCGCTGAGTATAACGGAGATTAGTTTTATTTATCAGTCCATATAAATTGGTAGCAAAAACATTATGATGTGTATCCTGTATAATTTATTTAAAATCTGTGTTATGCTTATAATGAATATTCAACAAAACTGCAATATACTATTGTGGTTTACAGTTCTAAAGATATCTTTGAGGTATTATATTTTGATTGAAATCATGAATCGATCAATGTTAGATCAACATTGAGAAACCTGGAAGCACTAGGTGGCCATTTCAACTCGGTAATGGACTCATAATCAGTGCACATTCACGATAATTGCTTACGTAAATTGTACCGAAAACTTTTAGTCTTGCGCGCAAACACTTAGCCTCTAGACTATTAAGCTGACATCCAAAGTTTTAATTATCTAACTTAAATCAATCTAAGGTATCGCGCAACCTCAACCATTGTCTTCCTTAGGTAACTGAGGACATTTGTCATGTTTGAACGCCGTTGATCATGGCTTCTTACTAGAACCTCGAAAATTTCCTCACGAAGCTGGTCATATATTTGTGATGTTGATCATAGGGTTGTGAAAATACTATAGCTTTAGGGTTTCTTTTTTGTTTTCTATGTACTAGTAGTTTGTGGCACGGCAATAATTTCTAATCTAATAAATTATTAAACAATTGGTTTAATATATTTGTTAATGAATTCTATGATGTAATTCATTAGTTTTTTTAAAAATTTAAATCGAATGAACAAAATTGAACATGTTCAGAAATAAATTCATTCAATCATCTAATCGTTATTGTTATTGTTTTAATTTTCGCACTCAATGGATTCTTAAGAAATGAATTCACTTATTATGAGTAAATTAGTTTTTAGTTATATATTTCAGTCGAAAGTTTCATTTGTTTTACTTCTTTTTTTTCATTTTAGAACTTGGAATCATTCATTTCTTTTTTTTTATTGATATACCATTTAAAAGTTTCAAATGATTGATTCAAACAGTATGGATTTATTCAATTCATTATCACCAATCAAAAGTAGATCAAGTGAAAATAAAAAATTTCAATATTGTACTTTTGGTAAAGAACTCAATTCCATAGATCAACAACTGGTTACAAGTAGTGTAGCTAGTAGTGGTTATTGGGAAGATTGTGATTCACTTGCTACTAGTGAATATGATGTTTTTGGATTGAATTGGGTAAGTAATTTTTTGCCTCATTAGTGAATTCAATGGATATTGTTGAAACATTTAGATGTGATTAAGTTTTCATGTTGCAAGATCCATTTTTTGAAGGCTTTGTTTGCGAAAATCCCTCCATATATATATTTGTAATTTGTTCATATTGATTTCTTCAGTTGTACATTTTGTTAATCTGTTCGATTCCATTTTGAGATGATGATATTTGCATTTTATAATAGTTTCTATTTCTTTTGTCTTCACTGAGTTTCTATGTTTCTTTCTGAACTACATTTATGTTGTTTAAGTTTATACTTAGTCATAACGACAGCCATTTTGATTTGTTCCTCCTTTGATTGAGTTATTTATGCATTTTGATTGTGAATTGAAGCAGTCTTCCAGAATAAGAAGCACTCTGTGTTATAAAGCGACTAAATATTATCTTTCGAACGAATCTGATCTATCCTCAAGGGATAGAATAACATTTATTTGTTGCAGTTGATTTGAATAACTGAACAATTGTTGGTGGAATAATTGAGTGGTAATATTTATTTAGGTAACGATGTACATTTATATTTATGATAAATATTATAACCGTCATTTACCCAATCACTGGTTTTTTTGTTTCAACTGGGCAAGGAGCGTATCTAAACTACCTAGATAGTTATTCCTCAGTCCAAACCTCAGTTTGGATCCTACAATGTGCCGAATAAAGTTATGCTGAGTTCTTTCCTAAGCTAACATTTATCACCTTCTTGATAAGTCGGTTCATTAATAACCATTCCGGCTAAAATATTATTACTGTATTTTATTATTTTATTTATTACTGTAAGTGCATTTTGAATTGCCTAATATCCATATCTCACAGAAATAGGAGTTCATGAGTTTCATTTTGTTAATTTCACTTGAACTCAATAGTCTTAAGATAACTTATGATGTAATATTTACTTTAGTGATTAAGTAACATGCATCTGTTATTGTTAGCTCCATATCCTTGTTATTTTGTTGATTGATTGCTGGTCGATTAAATCATCTACATAATAAATAAATAAAATCTGAAGTGAACATTTTCTCAATATTGTTTTTTATCTATTCATTAATCTAGGCAACTTCTCATCAAAACGATAGAATAAAATATAACAAATTAAAACATAGACCACATTCAGATGGAACTGGTCAATCATTAGTTAGAACTCAAAGTTTTCATTTAAAACAAAAAGTTAACATTGATGGAAATTCAACTGATCCATATACCGTCGAGCATCATTCAGATTCCATTCTCAATAGTTATGGCAAAGATTTACAATTTGTAACGAACTCTCAAAATACACAAGTTGATAATACTCAACCATTACCGTTAGAGGATCATAATCATCCATGTAAATCAAATGATTCAGTGGTAAGTTTTGGTTTATTCCCATTACTTTTTATGTTTATGCTTACTTGAATTTCTGAACATTTTTTCCGTTATGTCTAGTTCTGCAGATTTATCATTTTTGAGATAGGGAAGAAAATTTGTAGTTCAGATGGATGATTGTGATGGAGTTTTGTTTGTGCTGTGATGATGTTGTTCAGAAGAACAATGAAAGCTCCACAACCGAAACACCCAACTCAGAGAACAAAATACCATCACAGATTTCTCACTGGATAAAAATTCCATCATGTAATTCTTCATATATTAAAATGTAAATAAGATACGAAATTAACAATGTAGTTGACTTAGTTTAAGTAATACGAATGGCAAAAAGATTACAATTTGAAAATAATCCACAATTAGGTTATTTTCTTCTTTTTCCCCTTATGTTCAATGTTGAATGTCAGCTAATGTATTGAAGAAGTTAGTTAATTCATAGTGTTCAGTTCTAGGAAGAAACTACCAAACAGGGAATACATTCGTAAAGAAATATTTAAAAGGAAAATTACTCAACAGATACTGTTGGATATGATTAAAAAAAGATTATTAAATTTACGTAATAAACTGGTGACGAGGTTGAATCAAGATTGAAAAATGTCAATAAGTCTTTGTCGGAGACGTTAGTTCCCCAGAACTAACTTGTGAAGGATACTAATTCTGGATTTTTTTTATGTCTCCGCACATAAGTCACTCAGTTGGTTGGTTGATGGATTATTTCAGTACGTTATTTGGTAGCTCTCCTAAACGGCATTGCTATTATTGTATGAATAAGCTTGATTTGTATGCTTAGGAAGCTCGAATTTCTGGGTGCTTATAGGTTGCACTTTCTACGCCTTACAAAGACTTTTGATATAGTTAGCAAAGCCGGGGAAAATCGGATCAGAATAGCTTATCGTGTCACTGGATTATTTGTGTTCGTTCTTGTTAACCAACTAAGATGAACTCGTAATAGTTTCATGCATATCAAATGACTGGCATATCAGTCTTTAATTTTTAACAAATGAATATATTTGAAATCATTAATCAATCATCATTGTTAGACCACCATTAGAAACCTGGAAGCACTGGACGGCCGTTTCGTCCTATTATGGGACTCCTCAGCAGTGCGCATCCACGACTCCTGCTCCTCGCAGGATTCGAACCCGGGACCTTTGGCATTGTAGGCGAACGCCTTACCATCGGACCACTGGGCCGGCATCCAACGGTGTTAATGTCTAACTCTGATTGATCTAGGGATTTTGCGCGACCTCACCCATTTGTCTTTGGTAGTTACTGCCTACACCCGACAGGGTTGAACTCCACTGGTCACGTCTTCTCAACTAGAACTCCGAGAATTTCCTCACGAAGCTAGTCACTAGTGAGCACTGTTACATTATATTGGCGCAAACCTCCAAAACTGTGCCCCAATAAAATGAATATATACCAAAGTCATTAAGCCATATTTTTTTCCCATTTGATTTCAATATGTCTGTTTCTTTTCTTGTCTACTGAATTTAAATTTTCAAACACTAAAATCAAATATAATATTAACATTATATTAGGATCTGTGCTAGGTGCCACATATTTTTTGGCAATATTTACACAAACAAAACATACCTTTTTATGTCCTGATTTTTTTTAAAAAATAAGGCTAATATGATAAAGGTGTCAGACATGTAGGCCAGAATCATTTTGATGTCTTTCCTTGAAATTATTGCCTAAAACAATATGTTCTGATAATCTGATTCTAAAGTGAATTTAATAAAATTTGGATTATTATTTCTATTTATTTTGTTAACTAAATTTCAATTGAATTCACAAAAAAATAATTGACCATTCTTAAAAGAATCTACCAGTGTGGTATTTATTCCCTTGATATTCGACTCACTATAATGATTTGAGAAATACTACTTATATCTTACTGATAGAACGTGAATGAATTCGCGCAACTGTTGTCTTTCTCATTTTGTAGTTGATCTGTAAGTATTTCAACTTGGATACATTGAAAAGTCAGTTAAATTCATTTCTAAAATCATATTGAGAATGATTGATCAACTTGATTAGTTGTGCTCAATAGTAAATACATTGGTGAAATATCTCTTCATGACAATATTTTTGAAATTCTCATATTTAGAAAGTGCTGTCAAAGACTAGATATAATGGTTTTCAAATGTTAAGGAATATAAACTAAGGGATCCATTTTTTTGTAACCATTACTGAATCAGAGAATAGATTTTGTTTCGTCTGAAAATTGAATAAATGTGATAAAGTCACTTTTGAATCAGTATTGATTTGCGTCAGATTGAATGGAAAAACAGTTGAATTCACTTGAATAACTCTTTCGAGGTTCGTTGCAGTCAGAAGACTCTTGGTTACAGAGAACTGTTTATATGCAAATATCTATCTATCCGTATGCTTTATCTGGGCTTGAGACGGGCAGTTTGTCAGTCAGTTACAAAGTAGAACTTCGTATGTACGTAAATCAGTTCAGGTTGCCATACCACATCAGCACAGAGACGCAACTGTCAGTTCAAATCCCGTAGTGGTAGAGATAGTAGAAGTTATTCCTGGGAATGGAGAAGGTTATGGTTCCAAGATATTATTCAAGCAGTATAATTCAGTGTGATAACTTGACAAAAAGAAAGGTAGAGGTAAAGACGAATTAAGAAGATTAGAATTTCATAGAACACAAAGATTGGATGTATCTGCGCCATTGCAAACTGTTCTGAGCCATGTCGCTCAAGGTCTCTAACCATCGCGGACCCCAACCAGGTAGTCTGCTTCTACCAACATGACTCTGTCCAGTTGTCAGTGACTTCATGGATTTCTGCCATGTTTTGGTTTGACCGCCCCTAGCTTTTGTCCAACCTACTCCTACACCAAAAAACATAGCTCGTCGGGGCAGTTGGGGTTTGGCATTCCTTGGGACGGGCTGCAACCTTAGAAAGGGTCTCAGGCAGAGTTATTTAGTAATCCATATGATGTGATATGTGATACTGTAACAAACCATGACTAGTCAAATTCAAGCTTACATTTAAGATGATAAGGCAAAATAACGGTCAAGTATGAAGTAGTTAAACATTAAAATGGGTGTTCGTGCAAAAACGTTACAACCAGTAAGAGCACCGCCAGTTTGTCGATAACCAACTTAATCAATGAGATACAAAAAAATGGAAGTCAACGCTGATTACTAATGAGTAATATGGTCGTAAAACAAACATTTCACTACACGTAGAAAACTCCAATAGATGAAAAATTCCCAATCTATTCATCTATTATTCTCTCTAGCTTCATTGAATTATTTCCTTTATTACCGTTGGAAAAAAAGAGGGGATAAAATTCATTGTAGCATTTTTAGTTAGAAAACCATTTAAAATTATTCCTTTGTTCCATTTACTGTAAAGTCAGAGGATAGATTCTTTCAATAACAATGTATCAACAGAGAAACATTTGATAAAGGCCAAATTACACTTTTATCAGTATTTTTATTATGATGGGTATATCGTACGAAAGCCGTATCGTCTAAATTAACTCACTAGATGTCATAAATTTTAGTTATCGAAATAGACATAAAACAGATATTTCATTCGGTTAGAAATCCATGCTACTGTTGATTTTAATATGAAACTAATTTTTTGAAATTTGTGATTTATTGAACATTGAACAGTTTAAATAACCAGTAAATCAAGTTATTGTTTTAGTTTAGGAGATATATAAAACTATTTACTCAAACTATAGGATTAATGTGGAAATTAAGTTATTCTCACTGTAATGTAGATAATACCTGATTATGTGATATTTTAACTATAATACTGAGGTTATTAAAGTGAATAAAATGTTTGATTGCAACGGTTTTAATAGTTTACTGATATTTCTAATCACTTTGTTAACAAGTCGGTCATTATGTAATATACATTACTTAAAAGATGAATCTTGAACAGGGATATTTCACTAGTAATAAAATGAATACAATGTATTATATGCTTGATTATTGATCAATTTCTGGTAAAGAAGAAATTATTCGTTATCTACTTCACAATTGATCGATTGGTCGGTCTGTGAATAGTGACAACCAATGTCAATGATTGTCTAGTTTTTTTTCCATATTTATTAAATTCCGTCGATCAGGTGTCAAATATGTTACCTAATCAAATCCAAATCAATTATATTCCAGCCAATATCAGTGTATTACATTCTACACAATTTTCAGCATCTGTTTTTTTTTAAAAAAAGAAGTTATTCGGAACTACAAAACAAACTTACATACAATGAACTTGTAATCAGTGATCATGAGCAAACAAATTAAAAAAATACCATTGTTCTTACAAACGGTTTTCATTGATTTCTATATGTTGAACAGAACCATTTTGCTGTCTGATTAATAGAGCACGATATAGTTATGCACGAAAATTCGTGAACAGCAGTAGTTCTGTGGTTAGTGTTATCTGTTGACTAGATGCCTTTGTGTCTGAACATACTGTATGAATTAATTTACACACTATGTGTGTGTGTGGAAGTTTCGTTACATGTGTGTTGGCACGTTTTTTTACAAAAATTCACTAGTTAAACAATAGTCTAAATAAATTTAACGTCTGTGAGAAAAGACCTTGTTGTTCTCGTCGGTATTTGTTTAAACCAAGCCAATTTAGCTCGTTTTGAATTCTAGTATTGAGTTTGTCTTGTTTCTTGTTATAGTTTTTGCGTTTTAGTATATATATATATATATATATATATATATATATATATATATATATATATATATGGGTGAAACATAAAGATATATAGATCATCTGAAATAATTCAACATTTATTACGATCACAGAATTCAATTTTTGTGAAAGTTATGTTGTAAAATAGTACTTAATCAATGAAAATAGGCTAAATAGGTGAATCATTTTGAAAGTAATAAGTTTACAGCAATACGTCTAGATATTGAATAATAATGTAATCTCAATTTATTTCGTGACAAGATGAGTATCATTGAAATCATGAACTAATCAATGCTGGACCAAAATTAGAAACCTGGAAACAGAACGGCCCCTTCGTCCTAGTTTGGGACAGTTATGATGGTCACGCACAAATGTCAATTGATCGAAATTAGATAACAATACCGTTGGATACCAGCTCAATAATGATCAAGAGTAAGCGTTTGCGCACGGGACAAAATGTATTTTGTTCGATTTCCGGTGCAGGGGCATGGATACATACTGCTGATGAGTCCCATACAAGGTCGAATTGACCATCCAGTACTTCTAGGTTTCTAATAGTGGTCTAACATTGACCAGTTTATGATTTCATCGATACTCAACAATCTCCACTGTCCTATTCTGACAAAGTGAGCAACTTATTTACTTGAATTTAATGATGAAAACATACTGACATTGATGTGTTAGAACTCTTGATTCGATTTGTTTAGTTTGTATTTACGCAGAATTTGCAGTTCCCTTACATCCTGTTAACGAAACATTTTATTGTCTTAGATCGACTAAGTGTACTGAGTTCCATTTCTAGGTGACTGTGTGTCAAAGTACTTGTTGTGATTCAATTCGTTGTCAAGATTATTTAGTGAAACTTGATAATACACTCCCTTTCTAAAGCTTGCTCTAAGTCCCAACTATAAGTCTCTAAAGTTATCAAACATTAGAATAACTAAACATTGCATCATAGCTAGTGTCACTTCGTGATGAAAACCTTTACCTTAATTTGGAAGACAAAAATCATAACTCCAGCTTAATTTTGTATACTTAACTTAAACCTTTCTACATTATGGCTAGTCATGGTCTCGGAACGGCTGCTGGTTAGTACACTTCTGGGTGGCTCTGTAATCCGTTACTCAGTGCCAGGTTCAGCTGGGTAAGCCTAACTTGCATCTCTTGCCGATTGGGGATTTGTGGGTAGTGGATTGGTTGGAGGGATCGAGTTGGCCCACAAGAGCCTGTACAGGGGTGACCGCTCGTGTGTGCGCTGATTGGACTTGCTGATCCTACTTGCTTTAATAACAATCCAGACGACATGTACATACCCTCTGGGGCAAGGGCGATCATGCAAATAGCAGATGTGAGAATTCTTGTGTTGTGTAAAAGCGGCATATGTGTATGTCAAATCATATTCAGATGTTGATTCAGTGAGATGTGAACATGTGAATGAATATATGTGTATGTGTAATTTCGTTTTTCTTACTTATTGGACTTTTCATATGATGAAAGCAATCATGATTTCGAAATAAATTATGACGCGAAAATTTCAAATTTCCATTAATTGAGCTTATTTAAACTACATGATAAATCACTGTTGTCATATTTGTTGCTAAAAAAAGCATCTTCTGACGCCAAGTACTGAAATCCTAATGTGAATTGTATTTGGAGGATTTTATCAGATTCTTTGAAATATCTGTCATCTATTTACAGGACTTAGAAATATCACGTTCGACTATTCAGCTTTACTAGATAAATTGTAGCCAAAATTTTGATTTTCCATCTTTTAAAATTTACAAGCAAGCATACCAGACGACGGAATAGGAATGTTTTGAATTTTCAGTAACTTATTAATGTAGTCGCTACTTTTCCTCATATATTTATAACTGGTTATATACTGTATGAGTACAGCTATATAAAACAACTGCATATTCTTTTATTCACTGTCACACTCTACATAAGGTGTTGTTTATTAAAATTCTATGGTTAGACAAATATTAAACAATGTCACTGTTCGGACTTCAAAATATAATAGGATTTGTTTAAAACATCATTTATTTCAACGAGTAAATTCTCACATTATTCGAAATAAATGAATGCCTCTTGCAGCTAGTACGATCGATGAGGAAATAGTTCGAATTCGATAACGACTAATAATTAATCATTGATCGATAATTTTAATTTTGGCTTTTTTACGTTTGACACTTACAGGATGAAACTGGCTTGACTAAATCAGATTTCCGATTGTGCCAAAAAAATTATTCATCTGTACATAATAATCACTTCTTTCAAAGTATCCCGTCTGGAGTACAGAATGTTGAAGAGAAAACTTTTAAATTTATACATGAATGGGATGATAGTGAAGATGAAGAGGTTGTAGAAGGCGCAGAACCCAAAACCAAATTTGAGGCTGCTCTAAGGAGAGCAGAAGAGAAAAATCAAAAACGCAAGGTATGCATTTTTTAAAAAATTGTTTAAAGAAATCACTATATGATATGCGAACTAAAGTATTCAATTCTATAGTAAAAAAAAATACGATTTTGATAAAACTTTTTAAAAATAACATTTTGTTTTTGTTATTTACAGGCACTGATGATGACTTCTAAAGAGTTTCCAACATCAGGTAAAGTAATGCCTGAATGGGGTTCACCTATTCAAATTAAGAAAAATATTAATCAAAATAGATTTATGGAATGTTCTCTGTCAGTAGATATCGTAAGTTTTCTTTTCTTGTGAATTGTTTCTTTTATGGATAATTAAGATTAAAACTTAGATGGTAAATGTACAGATGAATTTTTATTGCTGGTATATTACAATTTATAGCCATCGAATGTGCTTATTATGTAAACATAAACAATAAGTAAATAACATCTTTATTGTACTTCCCTAGACTGGTCTATAAAAACTAATATAACCCAACCGTAGCCGTTTCACTGACGTAGTGGTTGGTCTTGTATATTGTGGTAACGCAACCGAGCTATAATGGCTGAAATACATGTTCCTTCAGCTCCTACCATGCCAGGCAGGTCAATTGAAGAACTTAAGACTAAAAGCAGCAACTTCAGGCTTGAGGGTGAAGTCATACTGCTTACTGTAGGAGGGTGTGACAGCAGTAAGGTGTTTCCCTTGGACAACCAGCATCTGCAGTGGTGCTGCCTTCTCATAAGGAAGGAAGGGATTAGAAAAGATTGACCCTAAAAGTTTTACGCCCTACCTTACTCCAGCCATCTCCGTCTAAGGCATTCAGGTATTTTGAAGGGAGAAGCTAACGCGTTTAAAACTTTCAAAAAACGCCGCGCGACAGGCCTCAAACATTTGTCCCTTGGATTCTGACGTCACGCTCCCAGGTTGCTAAGACCAACTCTAACCCAACTTCTTTTTCAGGCCCCTCAAGAAGAAATGCCCTTCCATGATGTAGACAGCCAGGAAGTGACATTCCCCCATACCCCTAACAAGACACGAGATCAACAAACCAACTTAAAGTAAATTTCCCTGAATATGAAGCAAAAATGGGTGAAAACCTAGTTCAGCTACTAACTTACCTGTTACCCTTAATATTGCATAGGCCGTTGACCTGTTTCTTACAATCTGATTTGTCCTGAGCTTTCTTTTCCAGTTCTAGCTTAACGCTATTCATTTTTTACATGCCTGTTACCGATTATCGGGGCAGTGTGTTGCTCGGTCTACTAGTTTTCCTTTGGCCCTGAGGGTTCCATGTGAAGGCTTGCATCTTGATGCAGTTGGGTTATTTCTGTAATGTGTGTCCTTTCTATCTCCAACGCCTTGTCCTAATTTCTTAATCAGCGGGAAAGTGGTCTGTTCTCTTTTACAGCAGGTTGTTGGTGATGGTATCTGGACAACGGAATTTTCGCTTCATATAATAGAATGGTTTTGACGTTAGTAATGAAAATTGTGACTTTGGTGCTAGTTGATAGTTGTTTCAATTCTAGGTGTTCTTCAATTGTAAAAATACTGCCCTTATTTCGCTAATCCGTGTCTTCAACTCGTTATCAGATCCACCTTGTTTATCAATGATGCTATCCCAGGTATATAAAGGTTTCAATATCTTTCAAAACTTCTCCATCAAATGCAATTTGGCTGTTGCATGTTTTGTAATTCAGGAGGAACTTGCTTTTCCCCTTGTGTATATTGAGACCTACTGCTTCCGTAGTATCGAATAAGCCTACATTGTGTCATCCTGTCCACACTGTCAAATGTCTTCTCGTATTCAATGTACTTTATGTAGTGGTGAATTCCATTTGTTTGAAGGTTCCACTTTGATCCATAATAGAGGGTTTTGGTCGGTATGCGATTGATTCTCACGGAATCCAGTCTGCTGATCTGAAAGTTGGGCGTCTACTTAATCTTTTAATCGGCTTAACAACACTATGTTGAAGACGTTTCTTGGTATTGGGAGTAGATTGTATCTCTATAGTTCTCCCTCTTACTGAGATCTCCTTCCTTTGGTATTTTTCCGAGGTATTCTTCTTTCCAGTCTGTTGCTACTTGTTCTTTCTTCTAAATCCTGCTGAACAGAACGTGGAGCATCTTTGCAGGTACTTCTGTTTGTTTTCAATGCCTCAGCTGGTATATTATTTGGCTCTGCTGCTTAACCACTCTTGATCTGTCTGATGACCATGCTTATTTCTTCATTAGTTAGTGAGTCACCATTAATTGTTAGGTCCATGAGTGCTGTTGGGTGGATTCAGTGTGGTCGGTTTTGTGTAACTAGTTGATTAAAGAGTTCTTTGATGTGTTTCACTCTTCCTCAGTGTTGATGATTACTTTGCCTTCCTTTGCTTTTCATTTGTCGTTCTAGTATACCATATTTTCCAGCAAGCTTTTTCGTTGTATCATATAGTTGTATCATGTTTCCTTCTCTTGCAGCTGTCTCTGTTGTCACTGCTAGGTCTGTTTGTCATCTACAATGCTACTCTTCACTTGCTTGTCGGTTTCTGTGTATTCAGTTTGAGTCTTGACTTTCTATTCTCTTTTTCGGCTGATGTTGATTTCTGCCTTTTTGTTCTTCCTTTTTTGAATCTTATCTTGAGTATCCACTGAGATCCATTCCTTCTGATGGTGGCTCTTGTGACCCAGAAGCTGATGACGTGCTAAAGTTCTTGTTTCTTTGATCTCTTTCCAGTCATTACCCATGGTAGTTTCCTCTTGATTGAGTAGATTGGGAAAGGCTTAGAACTTATTAGTGAGATTTATCTTGAATCCGTCACGTTTTTCACAATCCCGAAGAAAGGCTATGTTAAACTTTTGTGACACTGTTCACTGAGTTGTCCAATGCTCCTTGAGTCTTAGTTTCAGCTTTGCCATGATATGTTCGATTCTGTCCTGTGTAGTGTGATTTGGAGAAATCCATGTCGCACTTTGTTTGCGTTTGTGTGGGAATATTGTGCGGCCTATGAGTAGTTTTTTGAAGGCACATAGGTTTGCAAATTTCTCACCATTCTCGTTCCTTTCTTCCAGTACATGTCGTTACTTGATATTTTCATATCCCCTGTCGTCCATTGCATCAGAACGGTCAAACGCTTTACCGGACATTTCTTAACGGTTGACTAAAGCCCCTCATAAAATTGATCTTTATCGTCTTCATTGTTATTGTTGGTGGGCGCATAGCAATGAATGTTATTGACTGTAATATTCTCTTTCTTTGTATTGATGGATGCTTTGATGATCTGATCCTGGATCTATGAGAGTCCCATCTGATCAGTGCTTTTTGTGTTTCTTTGGACAGCATCCCTGCAACTCCTTTTAAGGAGCATTTTTCTATTCATTGCCGGAGTACAACAGCATCTCTCTTAAAGCTACTATTTTTTGTCCGACCTATGTCCAATGTGTTCCATTTATTCTAAGCACCACAAGGTTTTATCTTTTAATTTCCATAGCAATTTGAATGGTCCTTGCTGTCTCTCACAATTCACGAACATTCCATGTACCTACCAATATTTGTGGTTGTAAGAAGGGGCATCGACCTCGTGACTTCTGAAGAAAATTGGATTTTACTATGGAAAATTATAGCTCTTTTAAGTGAAGACATTAGAACTGCCAAGGCAGATTTCAAATTGTTTGAATAATTTTATCTGGTTAGCGTTTTTTAGGAAGTTAGTTTTCTACATGGTCGTGTTGCAAACCCGATGCCCAACCCTCTTCTTTTATTAGTGCTTGGGAGCAGCATTAATTATAGAAGGACTCCATTCTCAGCGGTTAACTCTTTAACCTCATTTTACTTTGAACATTAATTTGTAAACTCGACTTAAAATAAACAAGTGTGCGTAAAAAATATAACTAATAAGATATGGATGCTCACATAATTAAGCCTATTAAAAATGGATTGCAATGCATTTAGATGCAATTACTTTGATTATGATTAGTGATAAATTCATCGTTTCTTGCACACAACTAACGGTTTTGGGGAATAGAACAGTTAAAACAGAATTGTCATTAGGTCAATGAATTAGGGAGCAATTTCGATTTTAACCATACAAATATTACTTAGAAATGCTGATACTACTTGTTAGTAGTCAGACTCTTTTTGTTACATAAACCATCCTCTGCGAAATAGTAGTAAAGCATCAGTAAAGTTTTGGTAAATATAGTTCCGTTGATCTAAATTTACTTTCATATACTTAAGATATAATAAGGGCCACTATATTATAGTAGCTTATTGTGTAATATTTTAATTTGTATATCAAATTATCTAGAATAATATCTTCAGCAGACATGAATGATTGTTGAATTATCCACAACAATGATTGTCACCAATGTTCAAAGATAGTTTCACCGAAATAAATAATTTTATTTCATAATTTTTTCAATCTAAAGATCAATATTTGTTAACGTTAGTATTTCACCATTTTTCATGTAAGGTACTGTAATCGGTGAATATCATTTTGTGCATCTTCAGAAGACTAACTCGATATTGCTTTTTGGTCAAAAGTTATTAGTAAAGTTTGGCAGTGTTTGGTAGGAATATCCGGTTTGTTTGTCAACATTACCACTGTCATACAAGTCTACTTAGCTTATTGTTTTGAAATGGACGAAATACTCATCTTGGATTTCATTGCCAGTCACAATGAAATCGTGCTGTGCATAGTAATATATTGAAATGTTTTCTGTTAGAACGTTCATATTATTGTCTAAATAGGATCAATATTTTGAAGAAACAAACTAGTTATCGACTGAATTATATTCAACAGTTATCATCAAACTTAATAGTTAAGTCAATGAGATACAAGAATACAAACACTGAAATATTTAAGTAGTATTATTATTTATTCAATTACATTGGACAAAGGAAAATATTGGTAAGACGAGGGAAAAATACCATTTTGTTGAACTGAATCAGTTACGAAGATTAAAGAACTGAATAACCACTTTATTAAAACATTTTATTATTCATTAATAATTGTTTGATTTCGATAATGCTAAAGTTTGTGAATTCAAGGTTAAATTCATATCTTGTTAGACATGTTCCATTTCTTCATTATCAATTGTACTTGATGTTCTGGTACTTGCATTTTTTTTCAAATGATCTAATGATCTATAGACATGATTTTCGGAATTTGAATGTATTTGTTATTCAAGATAAACGTATATGTTTAATTAGAATTTCGTCTCATTCATATTTCTTTTGCCTATAATTTTCGATTTTGAAGAAACAGCTCTCGAAGTTTATTTCCATAATTACGCTCCAACATTATATGATATCAAAATCGTTAAAATTCACAGAGTACTTGACAGCTGTTTCATATTAGTTTCGATTCTCGCAATTGTGTTTGAAGTTAGACAAAATCGTTTCATTATTATGGATAATTTCGGTTAATGACACTAGTTACTGAATATAAAACTAGTAGTAAAAAAATCGTTTCACTTGAAAGCATACAGAAAGCATTTAAAAAAGTTTATGTAAGAATTTTTCTAAAAGAATGAAGCGATTAATTTTTATTGATTTTTATGATTATTTGTATACTTTGATGTAGTACCTAGATGAAATCATCTACCAATTTGTTAGTGTTTAGCGAAATACTTTGAAATTAATGAAGCTGAATATTAATTATTTCAACTAATTAATACAGAATACGTGTAACTCTAGTAATTTCCATGGTTTAGGACTTGACTAAGCAATGGAAATTTGCCATTGGTAAAGAGAATTTAACACACAACTTTTAACAACATTTTTATAAATAGTAATTAAATTAATTTGTTACAAACATTTGATGTTTGACAGTCACGAGTCTAATAAATTTTTTCGAAAATACTCGTCTATATGATCAGTTAGAAATGCTCTGAAAATATACATATCTATTTTTTGATAAGCAATAAGTGGTTTGGTTATTAATTCCAAAATAATATTGACAAATGATGGGACCACAATAAACGAATATCACTAGTTAAAATAAGTTTTCATTCTGTCATATTGTCTTTTGTTTCTATCTTTTTATGATTTAAATTATAAAGCTAATTGTTTAAATAAAACTGAATCGTTGTGTCGCCATATTTGTCATGCAATTTTCTGAATTCCTCATAAATCTAAAGAAAAATCATAGCTCTCTAAAGTTTTTAAACCTTTCATATTTGCTACACTAATTTGATCAGCGAAAATTGGTTCTAAACTAGTGAGTTTTGATCTTGAATATTGAAGGGAAACAAGAACAAATTGCTTAGCCCGCAAATAGTTTAATGAGAAAGTTAAAAAAAAAACGTTTTACACATATTTACGAGCTTGTGTACCACTGACTGTTATTACAGTTGACTGAATGAGCAGTAGATGAGAGCGAACGAAGATATTGACTGGAGAAATGCCCTATGGCGGTTTATACACATTTCTATCTATTCCTACTTAGTTAAGTCAGTCAGTGTCAGCCTCTCCGGTCATGTAGATAAACTGAATTTAGTAGTGAAAATCTAAATAAACATGATTTTTACCAGTTTCATGAGTTTAAATGATGTAAAACTTGACGTTTATTCATTTTTAAAAGCATTGGACTTGCTTTGATGTCTTTTATCAAAAATAATAGAACTAACTGAACGCGAATATACAACTTTTTAAGTTCAGTGTTTTCTCAACAGCGAAGATGGACTGCTTTATTTATTTGCTGAACATTTCTTCCTTTCATACGTTTATTTTTGTTCTATTTTTGTACTGATTCATTGCAACTCTCGTGATAAGACTACTTTTTGAGCATTATTACTTTTAAATAATTCAGTAGAGAATATTTGTTTAGGTTTCCATCATATTATGACTGTACAACAATATTTTGAAGTAAATGATTTACTAGATTAATCATTTTGTTCCTCAAAATCTGTCAGTAAATCAGTATATTGTTCATTTTAGTGCTTTCTGAGCTATTTGTATACATAGATGATTTTTCTCAAGGCTAAATTGATTAGCGCAACATTTTAATAACAGTATTATAACAAACCATTTTGTTTTCTTTTGGTTTTTAGCCACTGAGTAATACCAGTTCTCCAAAAATAAGTCGACCTTCGGATCTTTGTCGGGAAGTTGAAGAATGGTTGGAATCAAGACCATCATGGATTGATCAAAAGCACCAAGTGAGCCTTCAGTCTTTGCTTACTTGAGAGCTTAAATGAGTGCAATAAAAATTAAAATGTTATTTTAAACTCTAGTTACATAACAAATTTTCCAAACTTAACAGGTCATAACGACTAGCTTTTCATTTTGATATTTTCTTTAGGGAAACTGAGATTTTAATTTATTTTGGGACTTTCATCATTAGTTATCAAAATGTTAATATAATCCATTATCATATTTATTTTTTGATCAGGTATATTTTTAAATTTGTGATTCATTCTCTGACACAATCTTTTGTTGCTGATAATAGGGAGGCATTCTAATTGAAATACTCTCTAGAAATACCGGTTAATAATGTTTTGTACCACTTTGTTTGTTACTTGTAGGGGATGTTAGATCCCTAGAATTCACTTGGAAAGTGCCTCAATTTCGGATTTAGTGTATTTGGGCTTGGGCTGCTCAGTTTACCTTGAGACCACATATTCCACTCTAAAAATCCATGACTGTTATTGGTTGATGCATTATTTTAGTACGCTATTTTTGTTGCTCTCTCAAGAGCGTTTCTGTCATGTATAAATAAACTCGATTTGTATGCTTGTTAACCACATATTTTCTGGGTTCTTGTAGAATACACTTTCTACGCCTTACCAAGACTTCTTGATATAGTCAGCAGGGCCTGGGACATAGATTAGAATAGCCTATCATGTCACCAGATCATTTGTCTTCGTCCTCATTTATCGAGCAAGATGAACTCGTAATGGCATTCAAGCATATCCATTGACGAGCATATCATTATTGCTTTCAGTGACTGCGTCCTAATCATATTTTCCATCAGTTATTTTTCATATGTAAATTTCTAGTTGTTTTGTTATTTCGATAATCTTTTGAATGTGTATTGTTATCTAAAAATTCTACTTGTCATATACATGTCATTTTTTGAGATACATTTCGGTTTTATTCTCGTTTATTGTCTTAAAAATGTTATTTTTATTGATTGATACAGTTTGATATTGTAGGCTTTTGCACTGTTACGCAGAGTTGGTTATTCTCCAAACCAAGACTGACAAAATTCCAGTCTCATTATCGACGAAGATATAATCCACGATATTAATTAAAATTCAAACCTGTTCTATGAGGGACTGAGAATCTAACCTTTAAATCAAATTAGGTAACTCAATGACATTTGTAGCTAACAGTATACTAGGTTCAAGTACCGGAGTGCACATGAATTCTATGATACCGACACATTCAGCTGACACATTCCAAATAGGACGAAATGCGCTTCTTAGATTTCAGTACTAGCGAATAGTGATTTATTTTCACAATAAATCCCAAAATTTACTCAAAGTGTTGCATATGATGAGCTTCGGGTACAATGAAGATTTACACAATTTACCCACTTTAAACATTAAACAATTGTCGCATTATATTACAATAAATTTATTTTATTTAATTAGTTTTTATTTAGTTATTTATTTTCATGATTCATTAGAAAATAATTTGAATAAAAAAGGTAGGCGTAAAGCAGAAATAAAGCTAGATGAATTCTTGTTTTGAGTCATCCAAATAGATAAACAAGCAATGAAAGTTTAAAGTTATGTAATTATGTAATCTGATTTAATGAGTTATTTTGTTCATAAATAGTTTTAGTTATACTGATCATCATTATAACAATATTAATTATTAGTAATACGACTTAATTAGTTTGTTTTTTTTCTGATCAATCATCCAGACATTCTGTTAATCCTCAAAATAATCGTGATCTAAATTATAAACTTTAAATTAAGATATATGCTAACTTTAAATAGTATCTTTGTGTGAAGTAACATTGTGAATTTATTTGAGTTACGCCTAAAAAATAACTCAGCAACAGCAAAAAAAAACGAGCATCTTGACACTGGTTATAGCTTATATTGTCTCTGGATTTGTATGTTCATTATAGGTTTTATCACTCTATTAGCTCTTGTAAATAATGGTTTATCTATTCATACAAAGAAACAAACAAACTTTTATAACTCCTAGAAATGGACGCTACCCATTTTTAAAACTGTCATATAATTGTTTTGTTTGAACAATTAACGTTGGTTTGTTAATAAAAACTACATATTCATTCATTTAATGTGAATTTCATGACTTAAATATGTTTAAAACTCATGAGTTTATTCACGTTTACAAAGTTATAAAAAATTGATGCTGTAATCCATAACATTTATAGCAATAATTTAATTTAAGACCATTAATTTTTAATTACGTATTATGTGGCCAGTCATTTCAAGCTGAAGTCAATAGATGACTAATTCTCGAATGACCTTGAGTCTAAAAAATTATCCAACCATATACAACTTGTTTTCTAATTGGTCAATCGGTTGCTTCGTAACAGGCATACACAACTCTGTTCTCATTTATTTAACTGAAATATACTACAAAGAATTTATGGAATTGACAGATTTAGTTGAATTTGATTTTTTTTCTCTAAATTTCAACTTGTAATCTATCAGGATGTAAATCTAAATATTCAATATATAAGTAAATATATTTCACTAAATATGTTCAAATGAGAATACAACAAGACTAGATGAAATGGATTGATATTTAATTTTCAAATTTAATGTAAGCTATCAAAATTTCAATTTTTTGTTGTTGTTAATAGTATTCAAATAATTCATGAATATGAGCAAATTTATTCAATATGTTCTAATAAAAATTCTTTTCAAATTCATCATTCTTAGAAAAATAATACAGCATTACAAATTTGCTTTTTAAACACATCTGAACAAAGTTTGTACTCTTCAATGGAAGCAATTGTTACTGAACCTCAATTGGATAATAGGAATAACGCAATTGAACAAAATGATACAGAAGTTAATTTATTTCCAACGATTAACAGTATTAGAACAGCTGATAATATTGATACCAGGAATTCAGTGGATGATAATGAAATTGTCATGAATAATAATATTGAGGATTTTGATGATAACTCAAATCAATTAGCAGTATATGGTAATTCATGTCATAAAAATGGCAGGAATCGAATGAATTCATCGATATCTGGAAGATCTTCTTTATTATTGGCTTTCGAATCATCAGTTAATTTCATTGCTTTATTGGATGAGGTCTGTTAAATTATGTGTACTTAATTTATTTTTATTTCAGTTCTTTATGATATGGTAATTGATAATCGTAGAATTGTTTTACTATAAACTATTACATAACTTGTTATGTTTAACTGGAATTATTTCGATACAGTAAGACTGAGCAGTCGTCCAATGTGTGTCCTCTCAATATTTTCAACGTTTATGAGTTAGTCAGTTTATGATGACAAATTTCGGGACTTCTGCTAACTTCTGTGACTGTCTGGACTCAGTAACTAAGTGGATAATGCATTAAGGTTTAAGTCGCACGATACTGGGTTTGAGTAACCGAGCGTAAATCGACTCTGGGATGTAGGTAAAGGAAGCTGACAAGTCCCAAATAGGATGAGACGCATTTCCTGATTTCCACCTCTAGCTACTTCCTCTTTCTGCTGATAATGCTTGTGACCTAATGGTTATAAAGATGCAGTCCACCCAGGATGCACATATGTCAAACAAGACAGATTATTGGCAGTTAGGATTATCGATGGGAAGACCAGTTACGACGTAGAACTTCGTAAGTAAGTACATCAGTTCAGGTCGCCATACCACATTAGCACAGAGACGCAATTGTCAGTTTAAATCCCACAGTGGTAGAGATAGGAGAAGTATTGCTGGTAATGGAGAAGATTAAGGTTCTAAGATATTATTCAAGAAGTGAGATGGGTAGATTCAAATTATCATCAGTACAGCAAATGAATTCTCTATAGGATAATTTCAATTTTTTTCAAGCACTTGATAACCTTCACAGTGTTTATATGAAACTATTCCCCTTAGATTTTACATTGATCAAAATTTACCAAATCAATTTTATTACTTAATATTACGTTATTTGCTTCTAATCAACCAAGATTAGATGAATAAATCAGCTCGTTGTAATTTATTATATTTTCCCAAATCATAATTTATTCTTAGAATCATTCCAAGACAAATCATTCTTCAGTAGTATGATAGTTAACTTTCAGTATTGTTTGTCTATGCTTGAACTAACTGTATATTATTATAATTTTGTTTAAACACAATCAATCAATAAACCGTGAGAATTCCTGTCAACCTTTTTTTCTCTTCAAAATCTCTAATTCGAAAAATATATCAGCCTAGATGAATTGATAGATAGATAGGTAGATATTTGATAAGCAATACAACAAATATTTTAGGCTTAATAATTCACATAATTGTTTGAATAAATAAGAAAAATATCTTATGGCAAAATAATAGAATTGATTAATCTTACTAATTAATTATCTAATTAGAATCGAATGCAAAAACTCCATTTACATTCTAAATAATTTTTGTAGTCAACCCGATTATGATAATAAATAAGCAAGTTGTGGAATAGATTACACTTGTTACAAGTTTTTCAACACCATTCAGTAAAAGTTAATAATGGTATCTTTATTCAATATACGACATGTGTATAAGGTTGTTGATAATAGTTTTTTTTTAAAAAAATTCATTGGGTGTATGTTATTTTCGTCATTAGGTACGCTTGAAGCTATTACGAGTTCACTTTAATCGATAAACGCGAACGAGACAATTACCAGCGTCCCAGTAGGCTACCTTGAATTCCAAAATGTAAAACAGAAGTCTTGGTAAGCGTAGAAAGCATATTCTACAACACCCAGCAATCACAATACAATCAAGCACACACATCATAGAAATGTCCTTCGGACAGTTACGAAAATAGCACACTAAAATACACAGCAGCCGATCACAGCCATGGATTTTTCCGTTGGGAAATGAAATCTCAAGATCAACTGACCAGCCCATGCTCGCAAACGTGAAATCGAAAATAAGGCATTTATCAAACGGGTTCTGGGGATCTAACATCCCCAACAGTGTAGTCTACACAATACTTTCAATCATTTCTTCGTACTGCTAATATGCTGGGTGATTGTTGGATATTCGCATTAATTCATTAAATGAGTGGAAAAATGACCGAAAATGGTATTTATCTATAAAGAGTTATGAAGATTGTTAAGTGCCATTGAAATAATGAATCATTCATTGTTAGATCGCCATGGGAAACCTGGAAAAACTGGACTGCCTTTCTGTCCTAGTATGTGACTTTTCAATAGTGCTCATCCACGAGCCCTGCTCACGAGAGCCTAACCTCTAGTCTACCGAGCCGTCGTCCAACGGTGTTTAATTTTGATCAGTTTAAGGTTCTGTGCAACCTCATCCATTGTGTTCGGTAGTTATTGCCTACATCCGACAAGGTTGAACTCTACTGGTCAGGTCTTCTCTCTAGAACTCCGAGAATTTACTTGAGAAGCTAGTAACTGCTGAACACGTTTTACGGTTTTTCATTATAGAGTTATAGAGATCGCTGAAACCATGAATCGATGGTTGATTCAATAACACCGTTGGTTGCCAGCGCAGTAGTGTATAGGTTAGGCGTTTGGGCGCGAGACCGAAGATCTTGGGTTTGATCCTTGCTAACGGGTGTATGAGTGCGCATTGCTGAAAAGTTCCATACTAGTACGAAACGGCAGTTCAGTGCTCCTAGGTTTTTAATGACGGTCTAACAATGATTGGTTCATGATTTCAATGACAAAAATATTAGGTTTGGAATAATTGTTGAAAATTTTAAAACGTTATGTCTAAACTCAGCTTAGTAAACAAAATAAAGTTGTCATCATGTAGATGATGCTGTAACAATTCAAAAGGTGTCAATTGTTCTTTGTTTCCAACCAGAAATAAAAGTTAATATGAAATATTTTAATTCAGTTTGAAATACTTTGGAATATCTTGTTGTTGATATGATCAACTGAGATTTGATCAATCTTGGGTTGATATGTAGGCCTAGACATAGATATGATAAAAGTTAATGTAGAACAGAATGCTACTAGTGACGGAACTAAGGACTCGCGTTTCGTTCTATTTGTGACTCATCAGCTGGATTTGACTTTAACTCGTCAAATTAAAACACTCTAAAAGATAACGGGACATAAAAAATCAATTTAAGTTTAAATCACTTTTATCGTACATAGTAAAATCATGATTTGTATTTTTAAACTGAGATTTTACAATGAATATCTTATAAAAGTACAAAGTAGTCTCTTTATTAAAATCCACACATGATTACACTGTGTGGTTTAATGACAGATGTAACAAGTTATAATAAAACATTTTAGAACTATGGATTGTGAAATCAAGTCTATATGAATTAATCGGATATCTAAACAGACTGAATGTCTATGAACAGATAGTATTTCATTTATATATTAAATATCATACGATTTAACATGCTTAGTTTAATGGTGTAGATGTTATTTCATAACATTTTTCATTTAATAATATTATTAATACTTACCAAACAAACTAATATATGAAATAAATCAGTTAATTCGTGAATATGCTGGAGTTTCGTTCTCTGAGCTGGATAGTTTGATTTTAGAGCTGAGTGAAGTATTTAAATTTCTTCACGTATTACTCTTAACTTGTGTTGTTGACCTCTATATTGATTAGTCGTCATTGACCTTTAACTTACTATTATCCACCTTGTTAGTTTGATTCGAAATTTTGTATACATTGGGTGGTTTATAAATTTTTCCAAAAAAAAAATCTGTTACATTCAAAGCAATATTCACTGATCATAATTGTATATATATCATTCATTTTAGATCAATATGTATTATGAACGCTTGTTGGATCAATGTAGACAAGAATGTTTCAATGCACGATCTGTACTTTATGTACAAGAATTAATTAAAAATCATAAACGATTTCAAATGGAAACACAAATTGCTATTATTCAAGTGAGTTATTTCATCGGCTTTTTATTTGTTCTCTTCACTCTCTAATTGAGATTTTTCTTAGGTTGTATAGAGATGATGAATTATTTTTGGATGATTTCAAGCTTTCTGTTTCCGTGCTGAGATTTCGTCAGTCACCATGCCATCAGCACTGGTTAGACTCCCCAGATAAGTGAAGCGGTCTATACGCTTAACTACTTCACTCCCTATCACTAGTTCAAGTGCCGATGTACCCCAATCATGAAGCAACATTTTGCATTTCGATGAGGAGAGTCGCATCCCAAACATGCTTGCATTGTTGCTTAGGGTCATCAGAAGACTCTGAATTATATCAGCGTATTCACCAAATAGAACTAAGTCGTCATCGTACTCTATGTCAGCAAGCGTGTCTCCTGGTAGAAGGTCCACTCCTGAAAAGTCAGACGATAATAATGTTCACTCTAAAAGCATATCTACGACAAAGTTAAACAAGAATGGAGAGAGTGGACAGCCCTGGCAGAGACGCCATAAGCTCTCATTCGACCAGTGGTGTTCGAGTAGAGAGTTTGTATAAGATTAATGTACTTCTTTGGTACACCTTTTAATGATAGACACTGCCACAATACCTCACGATCAACAGTCGAATGCGAGAATGATTTCATAAATCGCTAAAACAAATGATTCTTCTATAATTATTGTTTTCCAACATCTAGAAAGCATAAATGTAATAAAATGAGTAGCTATTACTTTTATTCAGTGTATATGATTAACTGAATTAATTTTCTTGATCTAATGTCCAGAAATATTGATTAAATAATTGACATTTATTTATAATAAAAACCTTCAAATCATCACATTTATAATCCCCATTAAACTATTGATTAGTATTATAATCTTTCACACTACAGCTATATCCTAAAGTAGTACACTTTGTGATAGTAATAAAATTTCAACTGTTTAATGATTTGTCACTGTTATACTCGTCTCTAGGTATGCTTAAATCATTACGGGTTCACCTTAGTCGAATAACGAGAACAAAACAATTAACCAACGTTTAGGTAGGTTACTGACTTTCGACTGTCCCAATTGTACCAGCAAGAAGCCTTGATACAGTGTTCAAAGTGTATTTTACAAACACCCAGCCAGCATACAATGAAATTAAGCGCTCAAATTTCGTTTATTTATAACCCATGGAAACGTCCTTGGGACAGTCACGAAAATAGCACACTAAAATACGCAGTAACCAATCACAGCCAAGGATTTTCCTGGTGGGAAATGTGATCTTAAGGTGAACTGATCGGTCCATGTAATAAATCCAAAATAAAGATATTTATCAAGCGAGTTCTGGGGATATAGCATCCCCAGCAGTCACATAAAATGATAAATAAAGAAAAGCGAATGCTGAATGATGTTTTTCTGATGCACATTTTATGTTCAATATGTATTTTTTTAAATGCTTAATTTGGGAGATCACGAAAAAGCTAATTTGTTCAAGTGGTGAATAATAAACTAGACTTGTTACCTTGAGTAAATCTTTTGCTTGCACCTGAACAATGTGACTACATCTATAGAATTTCTTTATTACATAAAGCTGTTAATAACTTCATCAGTTGGGGTGGTTGGGACATGTGCTGCGGATGCCTAAACACCGACTGCATCGTCGAGCTATGTTGTGCGACGTAGGAATAGGTCGGGAGAAAGCTAGGGGCGGTTAAACCAAAACATGGCAGAAGTCCATGAAGTCACTGACAAGTGGACTAAGTCATGTTGGTAGATGTCGACTACCTGATTGGGGTCCGCGAGACGAACGTCACCAATAGTTAGAGACCTTGAACGACATGGCTCAGAATCGTTTGCGATGTCCCAGATGCATCCACTCTTTGTGTTCTCTCTAATTTTAATCTTCTGAATTCCTCGTCATCTCTATCTTTCTCTTTCCTAAGTTATCTCACTGAATGATACTTGTTGAATAATATCTTCGAACCCTAATCTTGTCCATTACTGCTAATACTTCTACTATCTCTACTACTATGGGATTTGAATGACAATTACATTTCTATGATAATGTGGTATGGCGACTTGAAATGATGTACATACGTACGAAGTTCTATGTTGCTGTCGATAATGATCTTGATAATATAATTAAGAGTAATTTTAATCGAGTATATGTATATAAATAAAATTATTCGAAAAGTCTTTTTAATTACTATTTTATTTTACCAACATCCTCGAAATATATTTAAAAGAGAAGAAATAAAATGTAAATATCTGCTAGAAGTGTAATGCACAATATGCTTTTAATTAGTACAAAGAAGAATTCAGATGTAGCCAGTTAATGAGACACAAATACAATGAAATTAGAATACCTTACCGAACTCCTCGTTAACTGTACGTAAATGTACAGGATGGTTTAAAATTTTAATGAGAGAACTATTTCTATATACAAAAATTTACCTAACAAGTATGCATTAACTGTGTGTAACATGTCAATAAGAAACTTTGAACCTGCGTTTCGCAAAATTTTGGGCTTGTCATCAATGTGTACAAGTGATCTTAAGAGAACAGTCAAAAATGTTGCCACCGAGCTAACTGCTCTGAGACCGACCTCTTGGGATGTAACATTCCAGGCTATTTGACTGTAAAGCTCGATGAAACAGAACAGAATCCTTTAGGAATCTTCGGTTCCCACAAGATTATTTGTACATTTCACTGACAAGCGTCAAACAGCACGTAAACTAGGTTTGGTGTTCCCTATCAACTAACTTCAACCATCTCACATCTCGATATGGTGCTGTGTTGTCGATTCACTCAGACTAGTGAATACATTGCGAACCGATCAGCGGAATTCGGTCAACACTAAGAAGGACTTGATACACATAGCACTGGTCAGTACTAAGTAATCAGTCATTTGTGAATATATTTGATGTAGTTATGGTTTGATTCACCAAACAATATTCTATTCAGTGATGAAGAAAACAAAAGGTTATATGAAAGTTTTGATATAGACTGTGTAATGTGTGCTAATATGTCGAATCTACATGGTTTGTCCCAACCTTCAGACAGACTAATTAATTCATTTTTTCGAGTCATTATTCACATGCCCTTTGACCTTATCGATCATCCGCTTATAACCTTGGTTGTTTTTAGGTGTATGTGTATATATACATAGCTTGCTTCGCGTAACACATGTCCGACTATAAATACTTATATTACGGGGTTGTGAAGATTGTCAAGTTACACATTTGAAATCATGAATCGATCAATGTTAGACCACCATTAGAAATCTGGAAGCGATGGACTTAGTCACACACCTTAGCACATCAACACTCGCTTTCTTTACTTCGCTTTAACACTTTTCTTTATTTTTTATCTGCTAACACGAATGTATGAAATAAATTCATTGACAAAACCGTATTCGGTACAAACGTAGTTCACCTAAGTATGATATGCGAAAATTAAAGGAAAGATTTATTTCATAGAATATTTAATTGTTCATGAAAATTAAATTCAGACCATTCACCCCTAAAGTATTTTTTTTACTATCAGTTGTCTTGTAAAGCAATAATTGTTAACCTAATACTGCTTTCTTCATATCAACAATGTTATTACCTGTAAATTAGATGAAATGAACAGAGTTATTTTACTTTACTTCTAATTATTTGGGTGTGGTATCTACTATCTTGATGATTGTCATTATTACGTATTTTGATTACCACTGAGACCAATGAAAGTATGGCTGTAATTGTGATCAAGGCTAAAATTCACTAAATAAATAAATGTAGGAAAAAATTAGGCTACCGAAGTTGAATAGGCGAGAACATATTGCTTTTTTTTTATTTCGTTATATTGATTTACTGTATTGTCATGACAACATTTCTAGGGCTGAAACAAAAAAAAACTTGCATAAATATTTTCTATCTCTGATTGAAATTAAACCAAAATTATAAATAAGATGACAAGTTATAAAGTGATTATTGATAATAAAAAATGTATTGAATGTTTTTATTTATAAACAATTTAAAATCGAATAATATTGAACAGATGTTTATATTTTCCTCCCTTTTCATTACAATCTATTAAAGCATAAATAAGAAGAGTATGTTGATTTGAAGTGGAAATTTTATGTTGACAGTATTGAATACTGAATTGACAAATGATTATAATTTTGATAGAACAGTGAGAAGACGAAGTTGATCTTAAGAATGTGATGTGTTTGCGTTGCATATTTCAAACGATCTGGTCAAACATGTACATTTGTTAGAGCAGATTATTCGACACTTAAAAGAGGTCAGTTAAATACAAGTTCATATAATACACGGCACAAATCCATGAAGTCATTAAAACTGGACTGAGCCATGTTAGTAGATGTAGACTACTTGGTTGGGGTCAGCGAGACCATCGTAATCGCTAGTTGATGACTTTGAATAACGTGGCTCGAAATCGTTGTTATAATAGCACAGATGCATTCATTCTTTGTGCTCTCTCCAATTTTGATCTTCAGAATTTCTTATGACCTATTTTCTCTTTGAAAACTAATTTCTATGGATTATACTCCTCCCCTCACATCTTTGACCTCAAATTTTTGGATTACCTCTGATACTGACAATACCTCTACTACTATGAGATTTGAATTGAAAATTACATCTCTCTGTGCTAATATAGTATAACACTGAACTGATGTACATACATAGCAAGTTGTGCGTTGCAGCTGACTAACTGACTGTCTGATTCATACTGATACCTGTTATATGTTGTCAGAAAAAACCTTAATTTATGTAACATTCGTTCGTCTTAGTAATTAAACTGTCTAACAGAGTGATAATTATATGTCTAATGTAATTCAGTTTATTTTGGATACCTTACTAACAATAGTTATCTTTGATTAATAAGTGTGTATTACTTGCTCATTTCATCCATTGTTTATATATATATATATATTGTATACTTTAAAATGGTGTTAAATATTCAATTAAGAAAATTAAGATTAATAAAAGAATGAATTTATTATTCACAAAATCTATCTATCCATTTTAATCATCAAAAATTTATATATTCACCTAGTTATCATTAGAGAAAAGTTCAATTTACAAATGAGCATTCACCTACATGCGAAACAGGAAAAAAAAAGACAACAAACTAGTTATATTAGTAATGCAATAAATCATTCTTTATGGTCAGGAAGAAAAATTGTTGATAAGATTATTTATTGTTTAACATAAATTAAACCATATGGAACGTATAAAATTAAACTAATACTAAATTTATGTACATACAATTGATGTTATCTTAAAAATTAACATTTATTGAACATTGAAATATAAACATGTACAAATAAGTGAAACAGTTAAGTTAGTCAAATGTAATCGAAATGTCGATACACTACGTAATAGTGATAATTTATTTCTCATTAAGCTTATGAAAATATATAATTATTTCATTGTAGTCATCTTATACATCTCTGTGCTAATGTGTTATGGCGAAGTGAACTGATGTACGTACGTACGAAGTTCTACGTTGTTGTTGACTGATTGATTGAGTCAACATAAACTTGATTTATCAACCCTTTTGTAATGGAACCTCAATTTATGCTTTCATAGCTAATATCTTTTAATTTCGATATAGAATTACTTTGTATTTTCTGGACTTTGATTTGGTTACTAAACATTTTCGTAAATAATTTAACTAGTCTTAAGAGTAATAACTATTCCCTTATATTCAATCCCAATGATATTAGAGTTGACTCAGAAAGCTTGAATTCATTGGTAAAATATGATTTTGTCTTGAAAATAATTGTTGTTATTCTTGTGTTGTTAATTAGAATGAAGTACCGTTTAAGTGTCAGCTTATGTTGACTAATCATTTTTAATGTGTTGGGGATGTTAGATCATCAGATCTCGCTTGATAAATGCCTTAATTTTAGATCTCATGCTTGCGAGCAGGGGCTGATCAGTTGACCTTGAGATTTCATTTCCCATCAGGGAAATCCTTGGCTGTGATTGGGTGCTGTGTATTTTAGTGTGCTATTTTTGTGACTGACCCAAGGACGTTTCTATGATGTATAAATAAACGACAGTTGTGTGCTTGAATTCATTGTGCTTGATGGGTGTTTGTAGAATATACTTTGTACGCTACATCAAGACTTTTCATTAGTCAACGGATCAGAGTAACCTACCTGGACGCTGGTTCATTGTCTAGTTCTAGTTTATCGACTGAGGTGAATCCATAATAGTTTCAAGCATACGAACTTAACAACTGGCGACGGTGATTTTGGAAACATGGATCCTGCAAAACTTGAATTATTACTTGAACAGCAGCTGAAACTGATGCAGATGTTGACAGACATGAAGATTTCCCCTTCCACACAGCCCAGCTCATCTAATGCAACCACAGCTCCATCAGTCGACGGCATCGCTAATAGCATCGCTGAATTTCATTATTATCCTGATGTCAATGTTACTTTTGACATGTGGTTCCGGCGTTATGAAGATTTATTTAAATTTGTTTTCGCCAACTAAGATGATGCTTGGAAGTTTCGGCTGCTTATTTCGAAAGTTGGGTGCAAGTGAGCTGGACAAGCACTGCAATTTGACACTGGTATTATTTAGCTTTTGTCAAAAAAACACTTTTGTAGAACGTGAAATATGTTGGAATTTTAACAATGAATCATATTTAAACAACAACAACGACAATAACACCTTAACTCTTGTACTTGATGTATCCATGTTAGCAGCCATAAAATATTTAAATATACCCCTACAATCTACAAAAAATAATTCCTACCTTGAATCTTTGTTTGTCACAGTCAACAACATCAAAACTTATTCATTTAATTACATGTATACATGACAATTATTATCATCAATGTGAATTCATTTTATATTTTAATTTCCTCTTTATTCTAGGTTCCTAAAATGTCAGCAATGCAAGCAGAAGTTGAACGTATGAAAATTCCATCGATCACACCAAATTTAGCAACATTGGTAAGTCAATCAAAAGAAATCATGTTGTATATTTAGGCTATGTGTTTTTTTTTGTTGCTCTAACAATTTTATTTGAATTATTGCTAAATAAGGAGTTCAACTTAATTTTAGTAAACTAAAAATATCTGTCAACCTAATCATGATATGTATGCAGTTAGTTTAGATTCGGCAAAGTATAAAATAGGAGTTGTAGAAATCTTTTTTTCTTTTTAACTAATTACCTTAAGAATTACAAAAGATTTTCCAATTGGAAAAGTTGAAATCCTCTTTATTTTTGTTAAACGAAACTTTTCTTGTAGGATGGTAAATTCAGAATGTTCAATCCAATGTGATAATTGTGACGAGAAAAGTAGTCAGAAAGATTGCTGTCTGTAGTGAAATTCATCTGTTTCGTTGGTCGTTTGCTTATTTACTTCTTACACCTGTTACCCCTAATAGAGCATAAACCTCTGATCAGCATTCTCCAGTTAACTTGGTCCTGGGTCTTCCTTTTCTGTTCTTCCCAATCGCTATTCATTCTTTTCATATCCATCTCCAGTTCTCAGTGCATTATGTTCCTTGTCTTTCCTCTTTTCCTCTAGCATTGAGGATTGCAAGTGGGGGCTTGCCTCGTGATTCGGTTAGGGCGGTTTGGCAATGTGTGTACTATCCACCTCCCGCGTTTTTTCCTAATTTCTTCCTCAGATGGAATCTGGTTTGTTCTCTCCCCTAATAGGTTGTTGCTGATTGTGTCTGAGTATCTTGCGTAGACAGCCATTGATGACTAATTGTACCTTGTGGACGATAGGTTTTGTGGTCCTCCAAGTTTCCAGTCCAAACAATTGATGAACTGTTTTGATATTTGTACTGAAAATTGTGACTTTGATGATGGTTGTTGGCAGTTTTTCTAGTTGCAGATATTCTTCAAGTGTAGAAACGCTTCCCATACTCTGCTAATCAGTGTCTTTGCATGTGCATCAGATCCACCTTGTTTACCAATGAATCTGCTTATTTGTTAGTTGTTGTATTAAATAATGACTCTGTTAACTTTCAGGCTAACAAGTTTACTGTGATGTAACAGAATACTTAGTTTAAAATAATCCTGCTTTGAAAGGTTGACTAAATGTAGGTTAGAGTAAAACAAAATTGTATAGACTTATTGAAGAATCACAAACGAATAGGAAACGAACAGTTTTATGCTTCTGATTTAATTGTAGACACTATAAAATAAAAAAAGAAACGTACAAGTTAAACCGTATAAATATTTGGACAAAATGTAAAATGAATAATACTTCTTGACATTTTCATTACGGGGTTGTGAAGATTGTTGAGTTACACATTTTGAAACCATGTATCAATCAGTGTTAGACCACCATTAGAAACCTGGAATCACTGGACGGCCGTTTTGTCCAGGTATGGGACTTATCAGCAGTGCGCATCCATGACTTCTGCAGGATTCGAACCCAGGACCCTCGATATTGTGCGCGAACTCCTGACCTCTAGGACCACTGAGCCGGTACCTAACGGTGTTAATGTCTAACTTGATCAATTCACGGAGTTGCGCAACCTCATACACAGTCTTCGGTAGTTACTGTCTACACCCGAACAAGTTAAACTTCACCGTTAGATACTGGCTCGGTGATCCAGAGGTTAGATGTCCGCGCACAATATCGAGGGTCCTGGGTTCCAACCCTGCGGGGTGCAGGAGTCGTGGATGCGCACTGCTGATGAGTTCTTGATATTAAACGTTATATCTATACAATTTTAAAATAAATTTAATCTAATTAAATAATGATTCAATCTGCATTAGAATAGAACTATTATTTTCTAACTTATCGATCGCTTTCGCGCGCGAGTTTGAAGGTCTTGGGTTTGATTTCTGTGAGCAAGGGTCGTGGATGCACACTGCCTATCAGTCTCATTCTAGGACGAAACAGCCGTTCAGTGCTTTAAGGTTTCTAATTATGGTCTAACAATGATTAATTTATGATTTCAGAAGGTAACTCAACAATCTCCACAACTCTATACTGGAAATTATGTACTTTTATTGACTTACACTAACGAATGTAAAAAGTGATAAGAATCAATGGAGGAGGATGGTTCATGAAGTTACATATTTATGTAAAGAATAATATTTCCTTTCTAATATTGTAAATTTACACAATTTATCATCATTATTATTGGTTGAAATAGTTTATACTTTTCATTGAATATTATTGGGTTTCATTGAAATCATGGGTTGATCTTTGTTAGACAACTATTAGAAACTTGGAATGAGTGGATAGCCGTTTGGTCCTAGTATGGGACTCATCAGGAGTGTGTATCCACTTTGGTATACCTAACTTAAGAAGAGCATAAGATTTTATGTATGAACAAGTTAATTTTACAGAATTTCGGCTAATTATTCCATTTTTTACAAGAGCATTTAACTACTATAATCATCCTCTGGATAAATAAATATTAAACATTCTAAAATCCCCGAAACTTTACTGGTTTAGTTATTACAAATACAGCTAAACAAATTTACTGATTAATTTTTGTTGATCTTTTTTAATAGATAATCAATACTTAAATGGTTTTTTATATTTGTGGAAAACAACAAATGATTATTTTCAGAGTCCTCTTCAATAAATAAATATTGATTACTTAATGGGTTATTCATCAGGATTTATTTATTCCACGCCTAATTAATCAATAATCGGGCGGGACTAGGATTACTAAGAAGTATTCCTTATAAATGTGGTTGTATTTTTTTTTTCTTTACAAAAAAGACTCGATCATGTTTTAGATCTTTTACATAATAAATTTTCATTATACAGTTGTGAACACTTGAGTTCAACCCTGTCAGGTGTAGGCTTTGAATGGTTTAGGGTTAGATATTAACACCGTTGGATGCTAGCTCATTAGCCTAGATCAAAGGCTCTGGACTCGATTCCTGCTAATAGGATTCGTGGGTGTAAACTGCTAACGTGTCCCATGCTAGGACGAAACGGTCATCCAGTGCTTTGAGGTTTTTACTGATTATCTGACAAAGAACAATTCATGATTGCAACACCATTAGTTACTTAGATGGTAATGCTGCTTTTATTATTAGCACTACACAATCTCCACTATTCAAATATTTGCTGAAAATGAGCAAAGGAAATGTTTTTCTCTGTGTTCATTAAGTGGACACCACTTTTTTTCAAGTTTTAAGACGTTGAACTTTTTTAGTGCTGGTTAAATTTAGCCAATCACTGATGTTCAAGAATGAATTTTGATCAATCTCTACTGGTATACGTGTATACTGTGCTGATTACCTTCATACTACCATTCGCATTATCGGTTCAAACAAAAGATTACTGTATTTGAGTCACTGTATGAACAATAACTCCCACATGCAGATATATCCAGCTAACAAGTCTCATCAGTGTTGAGAGCTGCAAATCCATTAATTTTATAAAACTTGCGGATTTTCGAGTTTTTTGAGTGACAGAATCATTGAAGATCCTATCAACATGATAATATTCCCACTAGTATCACATTATATGAAAATATCATAAACGGTAAAGCCACATGTGTAAAGATTTCAAGCAGATCACATGGGAACTAACAGTTATCAATCAAAAATTTGAATATTTTCTTTTGAATAGTCGTTCACGAAATAATCTGAGATGGGAATTTCGATATAAATTGACTTACCATTGAAAATCTGGAAACCCTGGACAACTGTTTCGCCCTCGATTCATGAATTTATTGGAATTTAGCAATACCCACAATTTATTACAGACAGTTAACGCGTGTTTACTAGTGACTAGTTTTCAGAAGGAATTATCAGTTTTAGTGAATAATCGTGATCAGTAGAGCTAAACTTAGTTGGGTGTGAGATAGTTATCCGCCGAAGACAATAGAAGATTGTCTTGCATTGTCGCAAGTTTATTAATGTCAGACATCAATACGGTGAGATGACGATTCAGTAGTCTTAAGGGTTAAGCGTTACCACACGAGTCCAATAGGTCATGGATTCGATTCCAACTTGTAAGATCGCTAGTTTACATGATAGTCGAGTACAAAATGGCCATCCAGTGCTTCCAGATATTTAATGGTGACCTAAAATTTACCAATCCGTGATTTCAATGAAATTCAGTAGTTTCCTCAACTTCTTATTGACACAATGATACTTGTGTGTGATTGACAGACGGAAACAATTGTACTATAGTAGTTCTTACTTGTCTTTATATCCATAGAGTACTTACTATACGTGGTTACATTTTTCTTTTCATACGTTGAGAATAGTTTATCGAGTACATAGTCGACCGTCATTAGTTACATCAAACAAAAATATCATTTGATTATTTCATAATGTGAACTACACTTTAGAATGAACACATACCAAAATGAAAAACAAACAAAATCTATGCGTGAGAAAACTGTAAAAATTGTAACTAAAATTGGAAAAATAAAAGAGAATTTCACGGAAAAAAAAATTACTAAACAAAAGATATAAAAAAAAAACTAAATTTTAATTACAACTTTTTTTCCTCACATGAAAAAAGGGCGTTAACACGAATGTAATGCTACTTTTTTCATTTGTTTTTACCGAACAGTACATACATGCCGACTAATTTTAATGGGATAATATTGGGTTCATTGGATTGTTAACTAACCAATACCAATATATATATATAAACATATATAGAAAATAGTGTGGATTAAATTACTTTGATCAGTTAATCAATAGTGGTAATTATGCAGCACATACAAAAAATAGGTCATAAAATAGTTGGTTAATATTACCTCCGAATCATTAATTGAATCAATCATGAGCCTGATTGTTATTCAGGCGTTAATTTTTATAATCTGACAATTATTTCGCATCTTTACTTTTTAGAGAGATTATGACCAATTAAATCCGTAGTAGCTCTCTCTCTCTCTCTCTCTCTCTCTATATATATATATATATATATATATATATATATATATATATATGCTAACTTTTATTCAGTAAATGTTATGCTCGTTCAAAATATAATTTTATCTCAAAAAGCATTCTAACCGCGTATTCCGTATGCCTAACCACCTACTACTTGACGAGCTATGTTTGGTGGTGTAGGAGTGGGTTGGAAGAAAGCTAGAGGCGGCCAAACCAAAACATGGCACAAATCCATTGGGTCACCGACAAGTCGATTGAGTCATGTTGGTAGGTATCGACTACCTGGTTGGGGTCCGCGAGACGAAAGTCACCAACGACACAACTCGAGGCGCAGGTGCATCCACTCTTTGTGTTCTCTCCAATTCTAATCTTCTGAATTGTTCATCACCTCTATCTTTCTCTTTCTAAATTTATTTAACTGAATTATATTTCTTGAGTAATATCTTTGAACCCTAATCTTCTCCATTACTGCTAATACTTCCACTATCTCTGCCACTATTGGATTTGAACTGACAATTACATCACTATGATAGTGTGGTTTGGCAACCTTAACTGATGTACTTACGTACGAAGTTCTACGTTGTAATTGACTGACTCTTTTAACCTCAGTGATCAATCAACTTCATAATTCAGTTTATATTCTTCATATCATTGTTGGTTGTAAAATGATAGGATTAATATTTAAAGTATCAGGTAGATATTTCCAGTGAAATACACAATCTAAAGTGAATTACTTACTTAGTTTCATGCTAACTTTGATTCTAATTACTCTTCACATTATGTTAAGTAACTGACTAAACATTTTACTCAACTACCACATAGTATTGCTTACAGTTCTACTTTAACATTTGTTACTGAACATTTTATTAAGCTTAAAAATTATCGGAGGTTTTTTGAGTATTTTTTTTATTTAGATGGGTTAATAGCATAACTAAATGTTGAAGTATCTTTCGGAAACTTCTACTACTTCCTATAATCGAATTTAAGGTTATAAATTAAAGTGAGAAATCAAAGTTTAGCTGTAGAATGAGAAGTAACAGTGAGGAACAGGAATTCAGATGTTAATCACGAAACTAACAGCTAAAATGTCATAATTTTATTCGTTGACTGAATTTCGTACTAAAATTCAAAAGTCACTATCTTGAATCTGATTGACTCGTTCATAAATTGTGTAGTCCTGTGGAATCTGTATATTTTACTAGTCAATAATTTAGCACACTGAAGACTTTACATTTACTTTGATTTATTCACTTTTGGAGTAAATAAATCGATTTGAAATTCTATTCACTTGAAAATATATTTTACTGAAAAAAAAGTAAATTTTTTTATTCAAGTTCTATTTACAGTTGAATTTATCATTTCCCACAACTGTTGATATTGTTTACTGTTGCACCGAAAAGAAATTACTAATAATTGTGCTTATTTTTTATTTATTTCATTCGTATTATTGTTTTAGCTTCGTGTTGATTTGAAAAAATTTCAAATATGCAAAGAAGAATTGATTAAACTTTCTAAATCTCAATTGGAAGTGATCATGAATGATATACATTCAAAAATTGAAAGTATGAAATATAATTTGAATACGTATTCAGTTTAATTTTGAAATATGATGAATCACAGATTGATAGTGTTACGATTGAGGAAATAAATTGATCATTGTTAGTTTACCATTAGAAATTTAGGAGCACTGGATGGCCCTTTTCCGTCCTAATTTGACGCGCATCAACAGTGCGTATTCACAAATCCGCCTAACGTCATGCTCATGAATGCTTAACCTCCAGACCACTGAATCCAGTGTTTTCAGGTTTCAAATGGTCATCTAACAATGACCGATTCTTACACATTTGTAATCATCAATCATTCATTGTCAGACCACCATTAGAAACCTGGAAGCACTGGACGGCCGTTTCATCCTGGTATGGGACTCATCAGTGGCAGTGCGCATCCACGACTCCTGCACCTCGCGGGATTCGAACCCAGGACCTTCAGTATTGAGCGCGAACACCTAACTGTCGAACCAACGGTATTAGTGTTTAACTCTGATTGATCTAGGGATTTTGCGAGACCTCACCCATTTGCCCTTGGCAGTTACTGCCCATACCAGGACGAAACGGTCGTCCAGTGCTTCCAGGTTTCTAATGGTGGTCTAACAATGATTGATTGATGATTTCAAATGTGTAAAAACACATCTCCAAAACTCTGCCCGAAAATGATCGATTCATCATTTCAATGAAACTCAACAATCTTCACAACAGTATGATGAAAATCATAGTACTTATTAGTCGAAATCGTTCAAACAGGTATTATTAAAAACCTTATTAACACAGAATAAGTATGAATCAGTATAGCATCTAGGGCTATATTTTCTCCCTAGGTTAAACTTTATAGAAATGAAGAGGATTTTTAAAGTACAAGCTACTACTTTTCTTAAAATCATTGTTTATAATACTATTGGTACATTAAATCGATAAGGGAAAATATTTAGATGAATTGAAATCAAGTACTTCAATCATATAAATCAGCCTGTACTGGTGATTAGTTTCTTATTGAATTTTGTCAAAACTACTCAGCTTGTATATCTTACATACTGATTGAAATATTTCAAATGAATCAATAGTATTTTTAACTGAATAGTTTTTTGGTATTGACTGTTATTCAAATCATATTCATAGAAATGAATCTAGTTAATTTGTGATATTATCGTATGTTCAAGATTTAATATTTCTGGTGTTTCTTGTTTTGATTTTTTTTTCAGACTTGAATAATGCCCTCATGTTGTCATTAGTTGAAAGAGATGATTTACACTTAGAACAAGGTGGTAAAATTATTGCTTTAGAAGATATCAAATCGTAAGTTATTCATCAAAGAAATTTTATCGATTAACTTTTCATGAAATAATTAGTATGAATTGAAAACTGAGTATAATTTACAGCACTAAATGGTAATTTACTAATCATTACAAACAGATTTATACTCATTGAACTAGGTAGAGGTGATCTGAATTCAGTATTCCCAATCGATAACGTGTTGACGTTTCTAGCAAATGATATTGAGTACGTACATCAGTATGAACATCAATGCTTAAGTTTGTCAAAAGGCACATCCTTCACACCCACCAGCACCACACACTTTTAGTCGACAACTAAATTCCTATTATTCCGTCATTCACATACCCTACGTTTATTCCAAAAATCAGCATTTGCATTTCAAAAAGACTTGGATTTTATGTGAATTTACTCAACCACATTATGTCAGAATGTGACAAATACTTATCATACACTAACAAGCCAAGAATGGCTGTGAATAGGGAGAAGTGTAAATTTCAGACTGGTGATAAATTAGTAATCATAAGTCACATAACAAAAATTAATAGATTAACTGAAGGCTTATGATAAATCTCCAAAACTCTAACTGAAAAAATACATATATATTCCATTTGTGTTTTTACACAATTGGATCCATCAATCAATAATTGTTAGACCACCTTAGAAACCTGGAGGCACTGGACGGCCGTTCCGTGCGCATCCACGACTCCTGCACCTCACAGTATTCGGACCCGGGACCTTCGGTATTGTGCGCGAACGCCTAACCATCGGACCACTGGGCCGTTATCGAACGGTGTTAATGTGTTAATTGAACTTATGTATTATCATTATAGGATTACTTTAGAAAATTTCTACAACTTCACTAAATGTCCATAAGGTTGATTGTTAGCTTTCAAAATTTTTATCTTTGAACGTGAATATTTTTTCAACTGCTATGAAAAAAAATGAATAATTAGGAAAATGTTTTTATGAATGATAAGAATATTTTAGCATATAGTATCATCTAATAGCATTCAAGTATTTCAATATCTGAAGAAACAGTGAAAACATGTATCAGTCGCCCGGTCAAAAGGTGTTTTACCTTATGCTTAAAGTTAGTGTTTGCTAGGATCCACCCAGGTGTCTTTCCTTTTCGCTGAGTCTACGTACTTGAGCGTTAAAGTCACCAGCCATTATTGCTATATCAGAGCCCTTAACATTTTGGAGAAGTTTAGAGAGGTTTCTATAAAACTTATCTTTCACATCGTCTGAACTGCAGTCAGTGGGAGCTTAGGCAGTTACGACGAAGAGGCAACGGCGAGTGTCTCTATCCTTTCGAGTCCGTACCGTCACATCTAGTCGGACAGCGCATAAGCTACTGTCTATCGGGCTCCAGCCTAAGAGAGCTAGTTCTGCCCTAGGACTTAATACTATACTTACGCCGGCGAGGCCACGAGAAGCGGCATCAAGGCTTCCAGAAACATGAAGCGTAAACCTCATTGTTTCTCTCTCTGTACTAGGTGAGATCAAATTGATGGTTTTACTCGAATCTTGTATGCGCGTTTTGGAGACTCCATGAAAACATGTATACATGTTCTATTATAGTTCAAAATGTTCCCCTTGTTAACCTTCTCACTAGTTTACAGTTTTCATTTAAGTACACAAATACTGAAACTGTAGGATGTTGCAAATGAAACTCGGTAATTAGCGCTATTTATTAAATAACGAACTAATCAGATATAACGTAGAACCTGGTACATGTATACATCAGTTCAATTTATCACACCCAGTTTGTACACTAAGATAAAATTTTTGGAATAAAACTGATTGTATTAGATCCACAGACAGTGTCACTGATAGTACAGAAGATTAGGAATCGGAGATACGAGTCAAGAAAACGTAAACTGTTGAAATAAAATCAAGAAGAATTTTGAGCAATCTAGAAGATTAAAACTTGAAAGAACACATCTACGCCATTTCAAACGATTTTGAGCTCTATCGAAATCTCTAACCAACGGCTACGTTAGTCACACGGGCTCCAACCAGGAAGTCAACATATGTAGGTTCAATTGTCAATGACTTCATAGATTGGTTTAATGCTTTGGATGTTGCCGCCCCCAGTTTTCTTCCAGCCTACCTCTACACCACCGGAGTAGTTGGTGGTTGGGTATACACAATACTTCTCCGAACTACCTCAGTTGATGGAAGATCTACTACCCCATCAGTCGATTTACAATCCTCACCCAGTTTCATCGGTGCATAGAAAGGACAGTCGATTCAGTATATTTTTGCATGAGTATTATTGTTATAATCAACAAACTTTTTAATGACAGTTAAATCACCTCCTAGTTTTTACATTTCACTATTTATTCTAGAAAAGGGAAAGTTAAAATATCTCACACGTTATATGAGATCTATTTATTAGAACATAATTTTAAATCATTTGTTCTAATTAAAGTTCATTTTCTCGAAAGTTATGAGACCAATTTCAAAATGTTACTTTTTATTATTGAAAAAGGTAAAAATTTAATTGTTATTGAACAGTAAATAGGTGTGATAAGCATAAATTATATTCACATAAATATATTCCAACAATAGCCATTTTAAACAACATTTAGATCAAAGTACACTTCAAATTGTCGGTCATTTATGAATTGTTAGAGAAATTAAACGATATCGCTAATTCAATAGTTTAATAATTCTTTTCCAATAATATTGAAAATTGATCAATAGTTGATCAATTATAATGAGTGATATGCGGTCTATTAGCTTTACATGATTGGATTGAGAGAGAACAATAAAATTCAATAATTTCCACAATCAAAATTTGTGCTAAATATTTGCAATGGAATTATTAATGCATTATAGTTGAAAATTTTACTTGATTCTTACCCAGCAGTAGCTGTTACCTTGGCGCGGTCTACGGGCTTCCTCAACTTAGTTGCACTATCTGGTTGGTACACATGTCTCTTTAAGTCCTAATATGCCAGGTCAGTCAGTTAGAGAGCAGTAAAAACTAAAAGCAGCAACTTAAAGTCCGAGGAAAAAGTCTTACTGTAGAACTTAGATGGATGTGGAAACAGTAGGGTGTTTCACTTGAGGAACCAGCATCTGTGGCGATTCACGATGGTAGTGTGGTGTGAGCTACTTATAAGTAGTATATGACGTGAGTGTCAACGTAATGTCTTGCAGCGGAAGATGGGGGGAGATCAAGAAAGGAAGAGTTAGAAAACAATGGAATTTGTATGAAACACATGAATAGTGGCAATGGATTGATGTTTTGATATGATGGACTAATAATTTGCAAATTAACGATTTACGATATGGTTTTCCGATTTTACTGAGTAACCCGGTAATTTTCGTTTAATACAATTCGGTTGCCCCACCTGTGTTCTCCTTCACTACAGTAGGAAGGGTTACAAAACGTCGACCCTAAAGACATTTGAACCTCACCTTACCACACGTATTGGTTTCTATGGTAGGAAGGTCTATAATAGAGCAATGCTAGCACATCAAAAAGTGCGCGTGAGGAGGCAGCACGTAACCGGCCAAGTTTCAAATGAAAAGTCTTGACTGGTTGAGTTCGAAAACATCTGAAATAAAACAATCATCATCATTTACGAAGGATGATCTCCCAGTTGTACCAAAAATTGGTACACTCCAACGAAATCTGTAAAATGATTAGGCTCGTAACATTAAATCTATCGATCCTGGATCCGATGGTTGGCACGATCACTGGGATTGACTACTTAGTCACACACTAGAACGTAAAAGTTGCCTAGTTTTCGCTTATCTTTGATGATACTTTAGTTGAAGCTCGTAAATAATGAGTGAAACTTGCGAATGAAACTAATCTACACAAAACTTATTCATTAAAAAGGTTTATTTCCTTATAAAAGTTTTTATCTCTAAAATCTAATCTCAGCACGGATACAGAAGGCTCGATTGGCTTTTGCCAACTTACTTCATATACGGCGTATGCGAGATATCCGTTCGCTAACCAAAGGACGAGTGCACTGCGCATTAGTTCTCTCCGTCCTACTATATGGCTGTGAAACATGGCCAGTGAGAGTAGAAGATATTCGTAGGTTACTGGTTTTCGATCATAGGTGTCTTCGAAGCATTGCTCGTAAGTCCTGGGACAACCGGGTGAGCAACTCTGTTATTAGGAAACGGGTGCTAGGTAAGGATGCCAGGTCAATTGATGAAGTATTGAAACTTCATCAGTTGGGGGTGGTTTGGACATGTGTTACGTATGCCTAACCACCGACTGCCTCGTCGAGCTATATTTTGCGGTGTAGGAATAGGTTAGACGAAAGCTAGGGGCGGCCATACCGAAACATTGCAGAAATCCATAAAGTCACTTTCAAGTGGACTGAGCCATGTTGGTAGGTGTTGACTACCTGGTTGGGGCCCGCGAGACGTTAGTAATCGATGGTTAGAGACGCTGAATGACATGGCTCAAAACCGTTTGCAATGGTGCAGGTGTATTCATTCTTTGTGTTATCTCAAACCCCAAACTTTTTAATTCTTCATCACTTGATCGTTTGAAGTCCATTTCACTTGATTCTACTTCTTGACTAATATTTTCTATTCCTCACCTCTCCAACTACTGCTAATACCTTTGCTACCTCTACTACTATGGGATTTGAATTGACAATCGCGCCTGTGCTGATGTGGTATGGCAACATGAACGTACAAAGCTCTACGTTGCTATTGATTGATTGATCTCTAAAATCTCTTTTTTTTATTTTTCCGGTTAAATAGTCAGTTTTCCTTAGTAGACGATCGACTTTTTTTGAAAAATACACCCATTGTTATTGTGTAGAAGTATAATACCATAGTTTTCCAGTAAACAATCTGTTCATTTTTTCGTTTACGAATAAATTTCTCTCAATTTTAAGAAAAAAGAAATTTCATAGTTTACTTTTTTTTATGAGTCAATAAATAATTAATGACAAATTTAATTCTTGATTATCCTTTTATAAGACTTGAAAACAAAACAACTTGCGAACACTAAAAAAATATGAAAATGTGTGTTCTATTATTGATCAGTGATTCATTTGTCATCAAAAGTATTCAATCCTAAATTTTATCGCCATAAAATAACTCTGACAAGTTACACAATCTAAATCTCACAATATGTGTAACACAAAGTGATTAAAACTTTTTACATTTATTTTTGGTGGTACATGAATTTCAAGTAAACGGACGTATATTTTGTGCAGTTCGCATTGTTCTATTTAGTATAGTTTAATCGTTAAGTTATACTGGTTAATGAGTTGGAATAATAGTACAATCAGTAGTACCGTTGATGATTAAGTTAAATGTTTCTGTTATCAGTAGTTCACTTAGATTTGACTGCATTAAAGGGTGAAATTTGGTTCTTGTTTAAATCTTTCCAGGGAAAAAAGTGGTACTTCATTAACGAACATTTATATTTCAGTCACGTTAACTCCGTTAGGGACTACAACACATAGTTTTTGCTTGTCATAGCTACTTTACTCTTGTTTGATTTGAGTTGTTACATTTTATGCGAAGAGTTTCTTTCTTCTTAATTATTTAACCTCTTATCACTATTTTCTTTCATTTTTTTTTCTGTTTAGTTGGATTAAAGAACTTAGTCTACGATCATCAATTCCACAAGTTCGACAACAGTTAGTACTTAATTTTCCAAGTAATTTAACAAGTCACTCATACAATGCTGATGATCTTTCGCCTAAATCTCAAACAACATGTCAATCTTTGTCGAAACGACCACAATGGATGAAATCGTTATTTAGTCGAGGATCACATAGACATGCTCTTTCATTATAAGATTGTTTTTTTTCATCAAATTTTCTTTTTTGTATATCTCAGATTTCATATTGCCCCTGCCCTATTGCAAAAAAAAACTAAAGCACATGATCTTCACAAATAGATCCTGTTCATTCCTTTTAACCCTTCTTCTTCTTCCTATTTCTTTGTTTTTGTGGTTTATTTACATCCCAACCACCAATGATCTGTTCTTGTGCAGCTAACCATGTTCTTTTTCCTTAAGAATTTCAACAAAAAACGAGTACGAGATGATAACAAGATCCATAAAGAATCTATTAATCAGAAAGCTTCTTTTTTCTCCTGGTTATCTCATCATAATGTTTAATTGATCTACAAAGATACACAATAATTCATTTATTGTTTGTTTGTTTGTTTTTTTCTCAATATTTGAAACTTATTATTAAAACTATTGTTAATATTTAATATTGAATTTAAAAAGCAACATTTGTCGATATATCATAGTACAACATTATTCATTATGTAAATTAAATTTAAAATTTCTGTACATTGATTTGATTTTCTGTCAAAAAAGTATAGTTAACATGATAAGTTTACGCTAATGATCATTCATTGAAAACTTATAATCATGTACCTACTAAACACTAGTTTTTTTTTAATGAATTTCGTTAAGATTTTTATGTGTGAAGTCGTGACAGGTGACATTCAGTCATATGAAGATTAAGATAGAGATTTCATTATAGAGTTATGGAGTTTGTTGTTTTACATTGAAATTGTGAATCAATCATTGTTAGACCACAATGAGAAACCTGGATGCATTGTATTGATCAAAGTTAGACATTAATAGCCTTGGATACCGATTAATTGGTTCAGAGGTTAAGCGTTCACGCACAAGATCGAGGTTCTTAGGTTCGACTCCTACGAGAAGCAGGAATCATGGATGCGCACTGCTGATAGGTCCCGTAACAGAACGAAATAGCAGTCCAATGCCTCCCGGTTTCTGTCTTATGGTGGTCTAACGATGAATGATTCAAGATTTCAAAATAAGACAGGTATATTAGATGATTGTTATATATTATGAAATAATATCACCCTAAAAATGTAGACCATTAAATTTCACCTAAATGATTTGAAAATACTGTTTATCACTAAGAGACTTGAAATCTCAGATGGATACCTTTGAATAGTTCGTTTTCATCGTTCCTTCCATCTTAGCAGCTGTTCAGTTGATGATATCAGTCATAAGTTATGTAGAACGTTGTTTTTATGTGCATCAGTTGTTGTATCATATCAGCACAACGATAGTGTAGTTACCGAGACAAATACCAGAATTGTTCAAATTGTAACAATATCAACGATAGTAGAAAACATTAAGAATAGACAATATATTTAGTGTAGAATGAATGAAATTGAGGAACAAAAAAGCTTAAGATAATGTTACAACTCAAGATCTAAGGAAAAATAATGATTGAATATAAAATGTCAATACACCTATGAAATCGCAAAACCAAATCAAGGCGATTTATCGGTCAGTGATAACCGTACGAATTGATAGTATGATGACAGGTGTACTGGTTTTTGTTACACTCGTCTTTAGGTATGCTTAAACTATTAAGAGTTCATCTTAGACGAATAACGAGAACAAACAATGAACCAGCGTCCAGGTAGGCTACTATGATTCCTTGACCAAAAGGTATCAGCGAGAAGTCTTGATATAGTGTAGAAATTGTATTCTACAAACACCTAGCCAGCATACAATGAAACCAAGCACTCAAATTGCGTTTATTTATACTCTATAGAGACGTCCTTGGGTTAGTCACAAAAATAGCACACTAAAATGACACAGTAACCAATCACAGCCAAGGATTTTCCTGGTGGGGAATGTGATCTCAAGGTCAACTGATCGGCCCATAAAATAAATCCAAAATAAGGATACTTATCAAGCGAGTTCTGGGGATCTAACATCCACCACTATTACTAATAATAATAATACTTCCTGATACATAATCTTTAATACTAATGAATATTGTTCTGGCGTCTAGTTTTCCAAGCGGTTCGATCTATTCTGAATTATGTAAACATTTATTCAAGGCCTTTGTTATCTTCATCATAACCAGTATATTTGTCGCCACACGCATACATTCCTGTGTTATTGTGATCAAATCTAAGTTATATTAATCAATGTTTCTAATCATCGATTTTTGGTGGCTGCGTTATGTGGCTCCGATATTTATGAATGATCGAGTATGCTATGCAGTAAATCTCCCCATCACTTTCCGTACATTATACCTAAGCGGATCCCGTTTGCGCGACAGCAGTAGTAAGAGGCCAAATATGGATTCCGTTGGATGAGTCTATTCCAGACAATCGTTCATGAAAACCTGATAATGAAAAGCGTACAAGCAAATTGAAGCGGAGAAGGTGAGTGAGCCAACTCCCATTCGATGAGGCATGGCTAAGCATTTATTGAGAGATAAAGTTAGCCAGATATATGATAAGCGAGGTTGGCGTGCAGACACACGAACAAAAACAACCAAGAGGAGTGAATAATAACTTGAGAATAATGAACTAATTAATTTGTTCAAAGGCTGGGGACGACATAAAAGCACACACAACACGACAAGTTATTGGCTAAAAGCCAAGTTATAGTTAAAACTACTTTAGAATCATTTAAATTATCTTTTACGTTTAATTAATAAAATATGAAATAGATTCACTATAAGATTGTACAGAATTAAAATTAATGATTTCAATCAACTAATAAATAGTTTTATGATTAATGTTAGTGTACAAATGTAAAATGTGTTCCTTTAATCATTATTGATTACAAGATAACACGATTTTGTTATCAATTTTTTTGTCATTGATTTGCGTGTTAATTATTTGCAATTTATCAAAATTAAATTCAAACCTCCATTTTTAATACATGCAATTAATCCTTATTAGTAAAAATGAATTTACATTAAAAGTATATTGATTTTAAAATATATATATATACTTATAAATCACAGAAACTAATTCTATTATTTGAAATGATGTAATTTTAACGATGAACATATCACTTTTCTGATTACATAAGATCTGATATGCTCGTCAATTGATATGCTTGAATGCTATTACCAGTTCAAATTACTCGGTAGTGGAGCGTAGACAAATGATGCAGTGACACAATAGGCTATTTTAATGCGCTGTTCCCGGCGCGGCTAACTATATCAAGAAGTCTTGATTTGGCGTAGAAAGTTTATTCTACAAGCACCCAGAAAATACGAGGTTCACAAGCTCAAAGAACTAACTTGTTAATACATGATCGAAGCGCTTTTGGGAGAGCCACATAATAGCGCACTGAAATAATCCATCAACAAATGACAGTCAAGGATTTTCGGAGTGGGAAATGTAAGGTGAAGGTCAGCTGGCGCGAAAACATGGAGATTCAAAATTTCAGTCTACAATCACAAAATAAACCGGCTAGCATTCTCCAACCTACTCTACCCTAGGCCTTTCTGATATGTTAGTCAAATGATTTGCTTGAAACTAGTACGAGTTCGAATTACTTGGTAACGAGGGCGAGTACAAATGATGCAGTGACACGATAAGCTATTCTGATCCGATTGTCCAGGCCCTGTCAACTATAGCAAGAAGTCTTGATAACGCTGAGAAAGTGTATTCTACAAGCACCCAGAAAATAGGGGATTGACAAGGACACAAATCGAGCTTATTTATACATGATGGAAGAGCCACAAAAATTGCGTACTAAAATAATACATCAACCAATGACAGTCAAGGATTCTCCGAGGGGGAAATGTAGTCTCAAGGTCATCTGAGCAACTTATGCACGAAAACATAAAATATCCAAAATTACGACCTTTTCCAAGTGAGTTCTGGAGATCTAACATCCTCAGCAAGATCATCATAATATGATTGGTCTTTTAATTGGATTTTTGAATTTCATTAATTGTTTTTATGGATGCAAGCTGATAATACAGATTTTCATTTGACTGCTTCTAATAGTTTCTGTATTCATCAGGATGGCGAAAACAGAAAACAGCTTTTTTCAAAATCATTTTATAGATTTGCTTAATCTGGTTGATGATTTCTGATAGTTCTATATCGCAAAAATAATTTTCTACGATCTAGCTATTGCCAGTTATTACTACTTTCATGTGACGACTATTTTCTTCGAAATGTCTAAGTGTCTTGTTACAACCAAGACTTTGTGTTGTATTACATTTTAGTGCGAACATTTTTCTTAAAAGGCATTTCAGAATGTAGTCTCTACTAATAGTTTTGGATTAAAAAACAATCTCATGTTGTTTTTTGTTGCTCATGATTTACTAAATGTATCACTCATTAGATTTGAAAGTGTAGAAACTCAAACAAACTTAATGAAGATGCTTTTTTAAATGATGAACTATGAAGGATGTAGTGTTTAAATTTTCAATTTCCCTTTTAAATATTGATAACCTAACTGATTTAAATTTACCATGAGAAACTAAGAGGTTTTGTATGTGACACTAGGTCTTCTACACTGTAGTCCGCAAGGATTCTACGCTAAACAACAGCATCAATCAATGGTAGACTATTTGGAATGTTACCACTTTGTGTGATTTATTGAATTTGAAATGTTATTATTTTATCTTCTGTTTTTATATTACCATCGTCAGTTTTGACTTAAACTATGATCAATCTCCTCCATGAAACATTGTTTAACAACCTGTCTCCTGCCAGTCTTACTTTTCAACTAAATTCTTGTCTTGTTATCGATGATTTATCAACAGTTATTCAATTGACATCTTAGCTGGTAATTAAAATATTTGTAAAAACTTGAACGAAACCTCTAGCTATGGTTTTAGTAGTGTGATAAGTGACTGTTTATATTAGTTTAAATTTATTATAATGAAAAAGCATTAGAAAAGCTATTTTTATCTGACATTTAAGTATACACATTTACAACTATTACTAACCAGTTAAATGAATTCCATGACTAACTTTCCCTGCCTTAATGGACTTCAATTCATAATTGCATAGAAAATGCTTACATATCTTAACTGTGTCGATTTTCCCTCCGGTCAAATTTTTAAACGAAATTAAAATGTATAGAATGTTCTAAATAATAATGTTGGAGACTTTAGATCCCCAGAACTCACTTGAAAAAGGTTGTAATTTTGAATTTTTTATGTTTTCGCGCATAAAACGGTTAGTTGATATTTAGCTTACATTTCGCACTCAGAAAATCCTTGACTGTCATTGGTTAACGGATTATTTTAGTACTCAATTTTTGTGGCTCTCCCAAGGGTGTTGCTTTGATCGTATAAATAAGCTTGATTTGTATGCTTGATGACGTCGTATTTTATGGGTGCTTATAGAATATTTTTTCAACGTATTATCAAGACTTCTTGCTATAGTTAGCAGAGCCTGGGATAATGGATTAGAATAGCCTATCCTGTTACTGCATCGTTGACATTCCTTCTGTTTACCGAGTTACGTGAACTCGTAATAGCATTCAAGCATATCAGTTGGCGAGCATATCAAATGATTATAAAGATTTTAGTTATAGTTAAGAAATATTAATTCATATTTATTCCCATGAATATTGTCTATACCAAATAATTTTTCTATGCAGCACTTTGGATTT